ATCTCGACAAATATAATAATTACGACCTATTCTTCTTATGGTTGTTATTTTTATTATCATTATAATCATCATCAAATATATGGCGACACCATCGGTTCTCTTTTAATATCCTATACATGTATCCAGTAGTCCGTACTCCAATTTGGCATGGATCATTACGTGTCGAGTATTCGTTAGAAGGGTATCACCAAGTTACAAAAAGTAGCTATGAAAGCTAAAAGTACCTTGTATAGCTTTCGAAATTATTTTCATCTAGTGACAATCAAAAGGGCGTTAATGTCCAGTAAAATACTATGATTACTACCCTTCTGGCACTCTGTAGAATGATTTCGAAAGATTATTTTACATTAATAATACTGGTCAAGTAAGTGGGGTAAAAATATCTTTTGAAATCATTCTGCAAATAGCCAGAAGGGCAGTATTTATAGTAAACAACCTTTTCAATGGACACAAACCTGATTAAAACGTCTAGTCGAGAATGTAGCCTTTTTACACATGATTTTTTCGGTGATACATTCGTGTTTTATCATTACCGAGGGAGTTTGCATCTTTCTTTATGGAGTTAGATTTGAAGGAGTTATTTTTTAATTGTAAATGATGCTGTACATGTAAATATGAGAAGTGAAGAAAGACGAAAAATGGACTGTTGTTGTACATCAGCATAATTATTAAAGTAACACCACATTGTTGAAAAATCCCTTGCACAAACTATCTTGCACTTGCCATCAGGTACTGATGCGAATTGTTTCATCTCACCTCTGGAAATCTCTGGAAAATAGAATAACATCTTTTGAAATGTGGATCTACAGAAGAATGATGAAAATATCCTGGAAACGAATGAAAACCAACAAATATATATTGCACATGGCAGGGTGTAAACAAATTGCACTAGTAGGATTAGTTAAGGAGAGAAAAAAATCAAATACTTTGGTCATGTTAAAAGGCATCAAAGCCTCTTAAATGGTGTATTGGAAGGAAGAGTGGAAGGAAGTAGACCTAGAGGGAGACCCAGAATCAAGTGGGAAGAAAATGTCAAGAACTGGAGTGGACTAAAACTACAAGAGTGCACCAGAATGGCAGAAGATAGAGTGAAATGGAGAGATGTTGCAATCAACCTCCGAACCGGGAGAAGATACTTAGATAGATAGATAGATAGTAATGCCACTGTAACATCAGCTTCTAGTATTTATTCCTCCATTTTGCTTATGGGGGGGGGGGGGGGGGAGTCGTTCGCCCTTTTCCCACTTTCCAATCATATCTCTAATGGATTCATTCACAGAAGCCGCGGATGAGCTACTATTGTAGTACAACAACGCTACATGTCGTTGCCTAGCGACAAGCACCATTGATGCAGAAGTTGAGATGAATGAAATGGATGCATCCCTGCATGAGTTTCGTACTCCCAAAGCCCCGACCCTATTAAAATGAAATCCTATACACGCGCATTACGCATGATAATGGTGAGCGTGTTTAGTAGATGCAACAGGAGATTATAGATGGTGGGGTTAAATCCAATATTCTTTCAGATTAAACATTATAAAATCAAATTAGCCATCATAAAATCAATAATGTAATAATCACATTCAAAATCTACTTAACACAACCGACCAAACGACCCCTTTATATATCACCTCCTCTCCTGATTCGTGGGGAAATATTATGACGTTAAAGCAATCAAAGATACAGGTAGGGCATGTGTTTCGGTTTTAAATAGTTAACAACTGAATCATTCAAACACTTTGGAAATGCAATGGAGTTTTTCTCATAACTCATAAATGAAAGGTAGACTGGTTGAATTCAGGCCTTTGTTGAATACTCTTAATATAAGCTTAAATATATGACATTCTCAAGAAAAATAATTCGGGACAATTTTAATTTCAAAACTTGGTAAGAGTGTGGATGATGTAATTGTTAACTGTATATAGTATAGGAATACATCAATTTTCAATTACATAATGATGAACTTAGGACTGCGTTCATCGGACGCAGGGTGTCTGCGTTCGGACGTATGGTGTCTTTTGCCAGTTGCACATAATGTATCGCTTGTTTGACGTATGACTGCGTCGGTAACTGGCGCGGCCTTTGACGCAACGTTTGAGATTGCAATCCTACAGAAAGTGATTGGAAAATGAAGAAGTGCAAACACTGCGGTGAATTATCGGCATCACTGCGTCAGTGTCTGGCGCAGCCTTTGACGCAACGTTTGAGATTGCCATTCTACAAAAAGTGATTGGAAAATGAAGAAGTGGAAACACTGCGGTGAATTATCGGCGTATGGGCATACTATCTTGACAGGTTTGATTAGCGCAGATAATAATTACGCAATCGAAATGACGCCGCGTGAACAAAGGGCAGTAGATTATTGCTAGGTTCACTCGCATGATATCGTCATCTATTCTATTTATACAATACTGTGCTTCATTAAAACAGACACTCCGAATCCAGTGCAGTCGGTCTGTTAAGAAGTTTTAGTTTGATTATTTTTCATGAAATGTAATACACTTGTGACGATAGTGTGCACAACATGTATAAATATTACAATTTGAATTTCTCCCTTAAATATTGTCTGTAAGACGAAAATTGGAAAGTAATGTTTATAATATCTACATGAAATACAGGCTACGTTAATCTAAATTTGTATCTAAATTTAATTTTGAACAGCTTTAAAGGAACATTTACGTCAACAAAAGGGATAACAATTAATTTGTCTCTGAAGCGGAATGTGTGTTCTTTGAAATAAATCACGGTCAAGAGCTTAAAGGAAAGTCAAAATTTTCTCGACTATACGTGTATAGGGGTTTTCTTGTCATGCTCCAATGAAATCTCGACATGGTCGACGTGTAGTAACTAGCTGACCTAGTAGATTCTTGATCATGTCAATGTCATCCTATCTTATAGCCACAGGTAAATTGGTTCTTCGTCTCGCAACCTCGTGTAATACAAGCTTTGCCCTAAATCTTTACAGGTGTGCCGATAGATAGATCTACATGGTGTTTCAAAATAAACCAAAACTCCCTATCGCACTCTGCTCGTCAACAAAGCGGTCCCTGACAATGAATCCAACTATAATTTAGGTTTTAATTCCTACGCTAATCACCATTCCATTCCTTTTTCAAGCATAATCGTGTTTTCCGAAAAACTTTTTAAATCAAACTGACCACTGGTCTCATTGTTTATTTATTGTACTCAAATCAAAATGGAAATTTTGTTCCATCAAATTTGATACAAGTTTGTAGATTTAATGATGTAGTTACCAAAGAGAGACAGAGACAATGAGAGAGAGAGAGAGAGAGAGAGAGAGAGCGAGAAATATCTAGATGATTTTTATAGCCATATAACCCCTATTGCAACTCAGTTTCCTGCGTTTTTAATTTCTTAATTTACATTTTATGGCAATGACGCAGTGTGTCTCTTTTTTAATTCTTTGATTTTATATTTAACACGATAACAAAGATTTTTGAGAAATAAACTGAGGGATGATTTCAAAATACTATAGTCTATCGCAAAGATTTTTTTTGGATTATGTAATCATTATAATTTATGCCCAATTCTGATAGACTATTGAATGTGTCTTCGGTTTATATTTTCCCGTAAGTCTTTCCGATCGCGTTATATATTTCAGTCCCTTTAATCCAAGACATTATGCCACTGCACAATGTTTGAAGGTACTCTCCAAAGCATCCAAATGCACCTGTCTTCGAACCTTTCACCCGAGGTCCCCTCTCAACCTCCTAAATCGAATGCTAAGCTTCTATTTCCGTACTGACCATTTTCACCTTTTCGACGGCGACAAAGGTGTCCCAGAGAATGGCGTCTTATTTTGGCAGAATCTGTCCCTTCGTCTTTTCTCCCTTTTTTTTTTTGGGGGGGGGGGGGGGTGGGCGGGAGGGAGGTATTATTATCTGCATGAACGACAACGTACTCACACATTGCCGCTTACTAGCATAGTTATTGTTTTATCTCTTTATATTTCAAATCGTCGTAAGGATCAGATCTCTTCGACGAATGTTTTTGTTTTACTGTCCCGATAGGAAGCCTGAATGCTGTTGACGCAATTAATATAACCCTTTTTTAAATACCTATTAATTAACATATTACATTCACCTTTTGTACGCTTTTTCAATAGACAGAATTAAGATTTTACAAGTGAAATGACTTTGTCTGATCTAACTAGCAATGCCTTATTGAATGCTATGTGCATTTTTATCATTATGTGAACGAATCAAATTGTAATAGATGAATGTAAGGTCATCTCTAGGCTAACGTGTATACACTTCAATAAAATGCGCCATTTTTTGTAATCGTGATAAATGTAATAAAATTATGATGGATATGTTTGAAGTGTGTGAAGTGCCTCGTTATGAATTATTTCATTCATTTGTTACAGAATGCAGAATGCATATGACAAACATAACGTGCTGTTAGGTAGGGCAATCTAAATTGTTTTATCCTACCTAGCAACAACTCATGTATGCAGTTCGCATTCTGAGATACAATAACACAAAATAGGTGAAAGTAGTTGCTCGTTGCTAAGTAAATTTGTATCAATTTGAACACATTTTTAAAATGGCTTGAAAAGCCCTATGCTATGTAGACTTTCTGTTAAGGTAAACCATCTCTTAGTAATCGCAAATATTTCCCTCAATTTTGACATTTTGACATCTTAACAGGATAATTTGCTGTAAAGTTTTCCCTTACACGCAAAATGCATAATGTGACATACGAAAATGCCTAACCATGTACAGGTGTATGAACCAAATTGATCCCATCGGCCAGTCGTATTAAATATCAAAGACATGTTTATCTGATACCAAATACAGGTGCCTGATTTCCGATTCGGGTGAGTGTGCTGGTCCCCTACTGGACTGATATTAAGTCGTATTTCACACCAAGCCATGGAATTCACTCCACAGAAAAAGAACGAAATCCTTCAACAACATGCAGCAGCTGCCATGGGGGTGGGGGAATTTTGAATATGGCGCGAAATCGGAAACTACGCATGAGAGGGTTGGGGATAGTACATAATGATTTCAACTTTGGAATTTTGACGATCGAAAAAAAGAAAAACTTAATAAGTGCCACAGTTATATAAAGCCCTCGTGATTGACATCGAAACGTGTTTAACAATAATAGTAACTTTAGCAATCGAAACTTGTTCATGGTGTTCACCAATAACCGTGACTTAAGCGATACATCTAATCTAGATTCATTTTACTTTATCATTCATTATAGTATTAAGTTATAGAGAGTGAACAGAAAGTGCTCTCTTTGTAGTCAACACGAAGTAGTACGACTGTGGAATATTCTTGATTGCAGTCTGCAAAGGACAATGGCACCGTAGAAAATTGGGATATACACAAACAGACACACACAAAAAAAAAAAAGCTTGGCCATCATTGTAAATGGGTGGTTAAAACGTTTTGAAGATTTTACCATTCACGCAGGTACATGTATACATAAAAACGTTTCAATAATTACAAATATAGAGATAACACATTATAGCAGAAAGCAAAAAGATTTTCAAAAGACAAAATATGCTATCATAAAATGGTAATAATTGAAAAGGACTGAAGAGCTTACCTTGATCATGAGAACTCCCTTGGATACAAATCGATCCTCCTTTTGACTCTCCTGAAAATATTCAAATACTACATCCACTATAGGGTACCTGCTTCCGAACACCAGACCACTGTTGAGCAGAAAACGATTTACACTCCAAGAATTGACTCCTACGTCGTAAAGTATATAACTAAAGTAATTGTGGAGAATGTGAATCAAGCGATCTGCTGCTCTCTGTTCGAAGACTTCCTGAAAGCATATAAAGTCGAGATGGGCGGGGAAGTTGGAACTGATTCCGTGCTCACAAGGTCCAAGACGTTCCCGAATGCTACTCTGACTGCAGAAGGACATGGGACAGCGAGTGATAGTCGACCTGGGGTTGGTGTTACCTGGTGTGGAAGGTCCTACGGAAGAAGCATACTGACTCTGTGACGTCTGGAGTCTCACAGTGGATGTGGACCCCGCAGACTCTGGTGATGACGGTGAGGAGATTGGAACACCACGGCTTGGCACAATGTCAGGGATGTCTACATCAGATGATCCACCGGGTTTTGGTGGAAGTTCTCGTTGTTTCCTTCCTTGGCTTCGAGGTGGCGTAGGTGATTGATTACTGCTTCCTGCATTAGTCCTTGACATTCTTGGAGATCGTTGTAGATCTGGACTCCTATCTCGACGTTGCCGACGTCGGTCCTTGTCCCTCATAGGGAGTGTGTCGTCTTTTGAGACACTACCTCTCGATGAGTATTGCTTGCTCGTGTCAAATTTCAACACGTTGTCCTCATCTCCTGCAAGGTGGCTTATGTTCTGAGGCGTCATTACGGAGGTACTAGGTGAGTGGTAGATACATGATGATTTGAGTTCGCCATCTGAAGGTGAGTGGATGAATATCTTGGGGTTCGGTCGCAGTTGTGAGTTGACAATGTGTGTGGCCATTTGTTTTGCTCTGTATTGCACCTGGCCAAGATTGTTCATCCTTGCCATTGCCTCAGGCATGAGACATGAATCGACAAAAGCGAACTTAAAATTCCTTTTTTCAGTTAAGTCAGTCCAGATACGATTGTTGACGTTAATCAGGTAAGGGTTGCTTTTGAAGGAGAAGCGATAAGGCCGACGGAACCTGGCCATAATGACCCTTAAGGCAAACCCCAGCCCCGCGAAGGGGCATGAGATGATTATGATTGCTATCATGATTGGCACAAGAAAGATTAGAGTGATGACTCGCTCATAGCATGGCATGGCATCACCATCCTGGAGCTCGTCGGTGGTCCTCAAAAACAGGGCCATGAGCTGATTTAAGTTCCAGGTCCATGGTAAAAGGAGGTAGAACCCTAAAGAATAGAGCTTTTCCTGAAAGGAATAGTTAAACACTTTCTGATGCAGCATCTTGCTACTGTCTTACTTCTCTTTCATAGACTTATCCTGATTCAGGGGAGCTTCCTGTCATAGAATTGCTCTCACGCACGTACCCATGCTGTATTATCAAAGCCTGATATTATTCTCTCGTACAAAAAACGTGACACAGATTGCGGCAGTAGAATAAACCATCATACAAAAGATATTCGCGGGATGTCAGCATTGCTCCTCGCTCTGCTCGACACGGGTGAGCCAACATTTGCATAATTGATGAAAAGCGAACATAACTTTCATTCAGACTCACCCGCCATCTCTTCGCAAGGGGTATCCATAAGGTCAGACCGGTCACAACTATCATGTATATCCCAATCAATGACGTCTCATCACAATGCTGCAACACGTGTATCGATGTCGTGGAAACAAGTCCAAAAAAAAAAGCTAGAGTTTAAAAACAAGCCATGAATCCGCAAAGCATTACCAAACCATGGTTTCGTTCCACACGCTTAGCATTTTGCCCGCCGTATTGCAAGATGCGAGTAAATTGCACAAGAGAGACGTTGCCTTAGTGACCATATGGCATATGGGAAGCGACGTACGATAGCTCTCCGTTCATCCAACATTCATAGGTATTGCATATCGAGAAGCTAATTCCCAATATAAAAGTCCTTCTATGTCAATTTAATATTATCTCACCTCTGCCATCTTTTGTGATGAAATTTTCTCATAGGAAGTCGAGTGGAGAGGGCTGTCCAATTATCATTACTTGTTGTCGTACAGCAGAAGGCATAGGACATCGTGCTTACTTTACGACTCGCTCAGATAATCAATTTTATCCCCGATTTTATGACACGTGTAGAGTATGTCATTCGTGAATGGGAATTGCCTTGCGGTACCTGGGAAGCACTACCCAAGACACTTGATGCGCGCCTTGTGAAGCTTGATGCATTACTTTAGATTGAAGTTGTTTTCAACTTCATTAAATCAAACTTTCACCACGATTATGATAACTATGATGGTTAAACAAAGTGTTTGTGCAAACACTAGTAGAAAATGACTACTGTAGATGTAATCCGTATTTTCTTTATTAAAAAGGCGTTTCAGGCTATTGGTTTGAATATCATTTGAAATTAGTTCGAATTAAATGGTGTGATGTCGTATCATCAGGCAATAACATAATTTAAAGCAAAAAGTGTTCAGTATCATATTTTTTGTTATTTGAAGGTAAAAGCGAATGAACGACTTCCAAAAATTGTCAAGTTGTCCTTTAGGATAAAAGCGAATCAAGGAATATTAACAAAATGTCTGTCATGCACCTGTCCGAATTATCCACTTAAATTCCTGTACTCTCCTTCCATATCTAAAGCAGACAGTAAGTTTGGCGGCATGACTGCGCCGCGCACACGAAAGCGATGTAGATCACCCACAGACACAATAGTAGCTACGGCTACTTCTCCTTCCAATCACAACACACACAACCTCCACTTAACACAATCTCCCAGAACAGCAACAAATCAACTCGCGTTCGTTACTCGCTCACTGTTCGTTCGTCTGCTATCTCTCCCGTGGCTGTGCCGACCACTGCAAGGTCATCCGTCCGTAGGGCCTCGTCTTTATCATCGTACTCCAAGCTCACTGCTACTTTGGCCGCAATACAACGGCACGTCCGTTCTTACTCGCGCGCGGAACTTGAATAGCGACGATAACGGAAACCGGGGATGAGATGGCGTATTGTTAAACCCGGAACATCTGCAACATACTATAAAAAGGAAAGGTTAATGAATGTCTCACTTTAATGCTTCTTTTTAAGCACAGTCGGTAATAAATGACATTTAGGAGAATACACCAGCCTCCCTCTTTCTCCATTTCTCTTTTTCTGTAATACACGTGTCACTCTCTCTCTCTTATATAATGCTTTCTATTCTCATGTTTACTTTATACAATAATTGTGTTTGTGTGTGTGCCTGTGGGTTTGTAAGACGCGTGAAACGGGGATAATCGTGATTAAGTATACATACATGTAACTTCCAAGTGGGGATACACTGGTAACTGTGGATATCCCCAGTTGATAACTTACTTATTTTTTCCTAATTTTGGTAAAAGTGACCTGAGAGGATTCTACTACCCATTGCCTGCAAGAGTTCCAAGACATCCACATTTTCATAGTAAGACACCACATTTTCGAGCGCTACTCTGTGTATCATCTGAGATTTTAAAATTCTAATAAAATGAACAGCGCCTAGTAAACTCTTACATGAAAACAGGGGGCTAAATTCTTGTTATTCTTTGACAAAATGTGATTATATTCATTTATCTGGCCGCCAGATAGATAAATGGAAATACATTTTGTCAAAGAAAAAGAATCTTTATAAAAACACCTCAAATTCCAATATCCCCGATATTATAGTTAAAGATAGTTAACGATAAATATCCCCAGTTGGCACGTTGTACCTGTATGTGTGTGTGTGTGTGTGTGTGTGTATATATATATATAACTAAACATACTTCTCTTCTTAAAAATTGGGGCATTTTCTCTATATTCCGATTTCTTGTCAACAGAGCATTATAATGATCTTCACTGCCTACTAATACATTTCTCTAAGCATAGGCCTGGAGGTTTTTTGTTTTGGGGAAATATTTGTGTCCTACTGGAATAGCTGCATAAAGCTTGCAGAAAGCCACTATGATTATATTTGTGGCAAGATATGGCGCAAACTATTGTCTAAACATCCCTAGGGAATGAAGATGGTGCACATATGACTTGTACTAGTTTGAAACCCTTCACTGTTTAAAAATATATATAAATTGGTCTAACTCATTGTATCCAGCCGTGGATAATATCGTCAATAGGAACATACATGCGTCAAAAGGATGAACAATTTCATGGCTCCATCCTCGCAAACTATCTCATTTTATTAACTATAGAAGAAAATTCCTCTGTCTTAAACTTTTAGGTAATCGATGTTAATAAATCTCGCATAAATTTTGTTTGATTGGTAATCTTTCAAAGTAAGAAAACATAAATCCGACTAACATTTGCAAACTATTAAGATGGAGAGTGTCACAATTCATTTGAAATAATTTGTAGCATCGCATTTCTTCAAATATTGTTCTTAATAATAATAATACTTATGGTAATTTTTATCAATACAATTTTAACTTTTTACAAAATGAGGCCATACAATCTACGCATATCAGAAGCGAATGCAGAACACGATATATCATTGTGAATCACAGCTGAAAAGTGCACATCTTAATGACTCTGGTTTATAGCAAAATATGGTTGGAATGTTGAGGTATATCTTGACATTATTTATATCGGACGCTCGTCGCTTGGAGTATCAAATTAATATGTCAATTGTCACTCGACAAGATTGGCGCTTCTTTGTAAACGTGGTACACACCTTCCTCGACGCAGATGGCGCGTGGAAGGTATTTGCAATCGGCACACTCAAAACTCCACTATCTGGCAATCAAATACCTCTGACAAATAAAAGTTGTGTAATATATGGTACACTCCTTGGTCCTATATACGAATTATAAGAAAACAAAGAATATAATAATACGACAGCATCAAGTGTTTCATGATACAATGTTACATAATTATGACGAATACCGCACGCTTGTTAATCATCCACAGAAAACAAAGACCCCGAACAACAAGCCTCGAGAGAAAAAATATGATATCTTCAGTATCTGTCATAAAGATAATGTCTAAAAGGCGTATAGAAACGGGAAAAATCAGTTTATTTTTCTTGTTTATATATGTATATATATACTCAGCTGGGGCCGTCCGACCCCTCCCCCCCCCCTCTCTCTCTCTCCTTGAACATGTTTATAACCCTTCCTCCTCTTTCACTCTCATTCTCTTTGTACTCTCTCTCTCTCATTTACTCTTTGTACATTTTTATTTAAAAATCTTTAACTCTCTCCTTTATTGTCTTTTCCCCCTTCTCCCTGTCTCTCTCTCTCTCTCTCTCTCTCGATTGCAACGGATATATCTTTCATCATAATACATGTACACTCATCTCTTGTCTTCTACCCCCCCCCCACCAGTTTGCAAAGAACTTCATTATTTTAAATTTCATTCATTTTGATCATCAAGTGATTCACCTACCAAGATATTGCGGGAAAAAACGTTTGGAGGATTTTTTCGATTATGAGCAACATAAATACGATACATTTGATAACTAGAAAATATATTTCCTTGGAAATGTTTGCAACCAAATATCTCCAGACACATAAAAAAAAGAATATATCAAACGTAGATTATTCAATAAGGATAAAACGTGTCCTCTTAAACCTAATGACTCGAAGTGGCTACATAACTCTTTTAATGCATTTTGAGCTCTTTATTCAACCATTTTTACAATAAGTTATCTGTACAATGGGCAAAAAAGAAAAGTCATCTGCATATTTCTCAACAAAACCGGAATAGAATATGTAACACAGGATATACTTGCGAACTCAGCAAATACTGACAGGGATACATGAACAGATTGTTTATCTTGTACCTTGAAAGTTTCGCATCTTGTAAGATGTTTTATACTTCCACAGTACATCTTTAACACTATCAATATATGTTTTTATTATAAATTACAAATAACAATGAAACTCAATATAAATGATCCCATCTGTATGAAATAGGTTTAAGTTAAAAATTCCTCCATATTTATTTCTTCTCAATAAAGAGAAATAAGGTTAATGAAAAGGTTCGGGTAATGGAGTCAGAAGATATAAATTTTGGATTCTAAATGTAAAGGTAGTGCTTTTGAAAGACACACCTATCAAATAAATATGGTCATACCAGACTAGATTATATAATTTACTTCTTCCTATATCTATGAACAAAAAAGAAAAGGAATAACAATAACACAGAACAAAACATTAATATTACATTGCAAAGCGTAAGTTTTGTACAATACAGTAATAATTTACATACAACAAAGTATTCGTACTTCATTGTTTAGGCAGTATTATGCAGATGGCGAGTGTCTCTCATTTTAATACGGAACCATTACTTTAATGGTGGATTTGAAATCAAGGTAAGAAAATATAAATGTAAAGTTAATTAAACTGAAAGTAGTATTTTTAAAAAGTACTTTATTTCACTTGGTGGTTATAATTGATTAAAGGTTCTTAGTCCAGTTGTCAAAACTTTTTTATTCTAAAAAAGTATTGCAATATACAAATTAGCGCATGCACAATAACAACAACTACATTCACTTCCATGAATATATTCATGTATGTTCAAGGCAGTTATGTACATGAATTACACAATATGGAAAGGGAGCAAAATTTGTTTTGAAAGAAATAATATAAAGAGGGAAATCGAGAAATAGACCAAATGCTGGAAGTAAATGGGCATGGTGTGACGTGATGAGAAATATTTGTATTCCTTGTGTAAATGTCCACCTGAACGTAGTGGCGGAGCGCAGTCACTGGTCTCATCGGGGGGGACGGGTATCGACCTTACTAGATTGATGAAATGCGAGAAAGCAGGGCCCTCGTTTAGGGATATGAAGAAGAGAAAAGTATCGTCTTCTTTTCACGTTGTCTTCCTTCTCTCTCTCTCTTTTTTCCCCTTTATAGTCAACCGACTGAAGAGGCATGTGCCCCGTGCCTCCCCTTTGTTGTTATGACATTGTGTAAATGGCTAGGCATTCCAACAAGTAAACTTACAAATCGACAACAAGAAAGGTCACTGAAGTCATTAAACCAATATTTTTCATTTCTTATATCGTCGTTGTCAGGTAGAAATTGTTAACCACTAAGTTTCTTGTAAATCTAAAGAGTATTTAACGACTCTTTAGAGCCCGGTTCTTATAAAGACAATACATTGTCATCGAGATACATGATTTTAGCATACTGTAATGACAGCAATCCTTTTCTCTTCTTGATCAACGTCCTATGGCAGAAATAACCAGAAACTTAATCATTAAGTTCCAACATCCGCTCTGCATTCTATTAACAATTACAATGCAACACATCTGCTCTAGAAAATGGTTGAAATATGAAATATTTGTTTATTTTATATGCCTGGTATCTGTTCAAACTAATATTAGAAGCCTTCTATAGTTACCCCTTTTCACCTTCTTTACATCCTCACATTCTACTTAAAATCATTTGTGTGTTTTTATGTAAACAAGAATGAACTGTTTGTATTTACGTAAAATGTATAAGTTCGTATGTTTCCCCAATGGAAATAAAGAATTTGAAATGAAATATTCATTGTGAGACACTCTGACTGGCTTCATTGGAAATGCCAATTAGGCTGGAATGTAGTGATTCCAGGTACTCAGTTGATCTGACATCAGGGTTGACGTTCTTCACCATCTCACAAGCTCGTGTAGGATCAACCCTGGCCCATACTAACTTGGTTGTTATAGGCGATGAATCCCTGTCCCATTTCTGGGCAAAGCTGAACCAGACTGCAGGCAGTCTTAGATTAGTGCGATTCCCCAAGGCCACGCTAATTCCCAGGGATTGCTGGAATTTTCCCCAGTTGAAGACTTCAGTCTCTTTGTTCCTACTCAGCTCTTTGGCTATACCGGGTTCTTCCTGAGTGCTTTGCCAAAAGAGCTTGGTATTCGAACTTCTTTTCACATAGATGTTCCCTTCTCGCGAGTAAAACTCAACTCTGTAACAAAATCAACATCAGAAACAAAACTGATGAGATACAAAGGTAAACCACAATAATTATGAAGGGGAAGGGGCCTTGGAATGATCCGGCAAAACGGTCTGACAATATTGGTAGCATTCCTTTTATCTTTAAAAAATGATGAAGCATATAATCTTTTCCGCTCATCTAAAATTGCCCATGGAAGGGTAAATTTATAGCACTACGGATAATCCGAAGTGACCACTATTACCCCAAAACATACGGTCAACTGTAGGATAACAAGCATAACTATGAAACGATTCTCTTTTCAACAAAGAATTATGGATTTCAGAGTTATTCATGTCTTACCCTCGATGGAAGCCCTGCAAGATCAACTCAGTGAATCGCTTCTGTTTCTCTTTGACCCAAGGGAACTCTTTCAGGGAGCCGTCCTTTTCGTTCTTGGTCTTGACTGGAATCGATATCCTTTCTACCTCATCTGGTACAAGGATAGGAGCTTGGTCTGATGGCTGATAATGAAGTAAGCATCCTCCCTTCTTGGTGACGACCTTCTCTAACATGGGCGTAGACATGAACTTGACGCTTACCTTGAAATGGTCAACTGAAAAACCAGGGAAAATGGGGACGAATAATCACGGTTCAGTCGTTAGTTGCGTTGATTACTATCAGATAGACATGAGCTTTCAGCTACTATGACAGATGCAGACAGTGTATTATTCCATTTTTATTGACTGTAATGTTTTATATCATTTTAAACCGAGTACTATACACAATGGCGTAGCTACGAAAAAAGCGATAAGAGACAGCAAGAAAAAGGAAAAGGGGGCAGGACGAGAAAAGAGGACGCATAAACAACCTCCCTCACAATTCCTATAATCAGTAGCCTTATTAATTCGCATTTAATTTTCAGAGTAAAACCAGTGTCCCCTCCCCTTCGGCCATGTAGGGGAAGAATTCCCGAAAATCATATTTTAGGGGGGGGGGGTGTGACCAGGTTGTGACACCAGAACATTACTATAGAACAAGAGAAATGGTAAAATTAAGGATTAATAATAATAAAAGAAACTTACATTCCGGCAACTCGTAATCTGAGAAGTACCCTCCAGATGTTGCAGTTGTGCCGTTTGCAGAGGTACCAGATATGGCTTGGGTTTGACTGCTGTCCGGTAGAGCCTGTCTTTGTGTAGCCATTCTACTAGCCGAAGGTACCTGGCGGTGTTCAATTGACTGTACTGCATTCAAAACAAAAATATCAAGGTTTTACGTTGACCACGATCCAAGTTCACATGTTATTGTAATACAATTATGTGAAAATGCAATTATTTACTTGACCATGGCACCTCACACTGGCAAACAGCATCATCATCACGGGGTAGCTTCTAGGAGCTACTGTAAGGGATTGTCAATTCAAGGTTAAAGGTACCATGTTTCTAACTTTCCTTCTGCTGCTAGGACCTATTTTATGATTTCATGAGTCATCTAAGTATCTAATATTTTTGTAAATAAGTGGAAAATTGCTATTTCTTTGCAAATTCTGCTTTGACAGAGATGTACTTTTTTCAAGTCAAACTGTCAACCAACAACAACAAAAAACATACATTTCTTACAAGACATGTTACCAAGTCAAAAGTGGGTGGCAAAATGAAAAGTTCTCTCGCTGGTCATACTCACTTGAGGCATTTCTTGTTGCATTCAATTCAATAGATCCAAGGCTCTCTCCAAGTGCATTAGGGTCTGCCATAAGCGTTTCTCTGACATTTTCCGAGTTCACCCGCATTGGATCAATGTCTGCTAGACTGCTATCAATCCTCTCTGATTGGACCGAGCCATCATCGAGACTGACGACAGGAACAGCGTGGGCCTGTGGGGTCATCGGTGACACGGCGCTTAACATGGGGTTGCTGAAAGGACTCTGGATATACGAGTTCTGGGAAAAACCTCCATCATTTTCAGGATTTACCTGAATAGCGGCTGCTTCCGAAGAGTTTGCCTCCATAGCCTCCATAGCTGTGCACAAAAACAAGATTTTATTTTTCATAACGTTTTATCAATCAAGTTATCAAGAATTATTGTGACCTGTATAGATCGAAATAGAGAGATGATAATAATAATGATAATAGTGTAAACTTATAGAGCGCATACACCGTCCAGGGACGCTCATGGCGCTAGCTCAGCAACAGTTCTCCTTGATACAAGTAAAGTAAATAATTTTGCAATATTTTTTGCAATATTTTTTTCGTATAACCCATTTCAATCCTCAGCTCTGCCCTCCAGCTGCTTCGTTCACTGACAATTTAAGGGACTAGCCCAGTCAGCACATTATTCACAGAAGCTCTAGCATCTGAGGCCAACAGGCCCCACACGGGCAGCCAATGAGACTAAAGGGTGATAACTAATTAATTTCAAATGTATATACAAATAACATATCAATTATGGATTTAGTAAAATAAACCTTTACAACTTAAGGAAATACTGGGTTACAGAATGAATAGGTAAGTCTTAAAACGAGTTTTAAAGGTGGAGTATGTTGCAATACAGCGAAGTGATGAGGGAAGCTTATTCCATAATTTGGCTGCTGCATGCGAAAAAGCATGGTCTCCCCATGAATGACGGGTATGGGGAATTTGCAGCAAATTATCACTTCCAGATCTTAAGGTACGAGTTGGATTGTAGGGGTGTAGTGAGTCTTTAATGTATTGTGGCGAAATTCCACGGAAAGCCCGATAAACAAGTAACATAATTTTGAAGTGGACCCTTTTCTGGACAGGTAGCCAGTGAAGAGAGCGTAATTTAGGCGTAATAGAAGACATTCTTGGTGTGAAAGTAAGGAGTCTTGCACTGGAATTTTGTTTTGTGAGTCCAAATAGAATAGAATTACAAAAATCTAAGCGGGATGAGATGAATGCATGGATTAATTGTTCACATGCTTTTTGAGTCAGAGATTTTTCGTATGAACCCAAGGTTCCGCAGTTGATATCTCACAGACTTTGATATGCAAGATACATGTTCAATAAATGACATATTATTGTCAAATATCACACCGAGGTTACGGACCTTTGAGGCTGGTTTTATAACTTTGTCACCTACATGCTAGCTTAAATGAGTATGATTTGCTCTCATTAAAGAATTCTTAGAGCCCAAAATGATAAACTCAGTTTTATTTTCATTTATTTTAAGACCGTTGGAATCCATCCAGCCTTTCATGTCATTAATACAGGCTTCTAAAAAATCTCTTAAAATCGATAATTGCATCTGAGGAAGGATGTACAGAAATGAAAAGCTGAATATCATCAGCGTAACAATGATATTTTATATTATGCTTTCTTATTATTGTACTGATTGGCTCAAGGTAAACAGAAAACATTAACGGGCCACCAACAGACCGTTGTGGCACACCATATGAAAGATAAGTTTTGTCAGATTGAGAGTTATTTACAGAGACATGCTGGGTTCTTTTATGAATGTATGATGAAAACCACTGCAACGCAGTTCCTGTTACCCCCAAGAGACTGTAGTCTCTTAACAAGTATTGTGTGGTCAATAGTGTCGAAAGCACTTGACATATCAAGTAGCACAAGAAAAGTAATGTTACCTTTATCCATTTCAGAGAGGATACTATCCACAAGATTAGTTAGCAGCGTTTCCACACTATAGTGTGGGCGGTAGGCAGATTGAAAATTATCAATTAAATTATTTTCAATGAGATATGTGCGAAGACGTGAGAAAGCCACTCGTTCTGTGAGTTTGGACAGATACGACACTCACTGTCCAAATTAGATTTTTTTTTTCAAGGTGGGGCACACTGCTGCAATCTTCATACTGTCAGGAATTACCCCTGAACCAAGACTTGTGTTAATTGTAGTTATAATTGATGGTATAATAGCAGGGAGACATTGTTTCAAAAGCAATATAGGTATGGGGTCAAGTTCACTGGATTTAGAAGGTGAACTCATTATGATTGACTTAATTTCATCAGGTGTTGTTGGAGATAGTGTATCTAGTGTCTTCTCTGTAATCAAAGGAATGTCAAACCCTCCGATATTAGTAAGAGCTGATCTGATATTCTGATTTTTTTTTCCACAAAGAAACTGTTAAAACGATCTGCAAGATTTACATACGTAGGAAGGGGAGATTTCTTACTTCTGTTAAGTAAAACGTTTGCAACTCTAAACAGCTGTCTTGTACTTGTGCAGCTTTCAACCATCATAGCGTTATATGATGTTTTGGCAGCGTGAACACTTATTTGCACTAACTGACGCTGCTTCTGATATTTCTCACGATCAGACTCTAGGCCCGATTTAAGCAATTTGCGCTCCAATTTCCTACGTTGGAATTTTTTGTTTGCAATATCTTGACAGTAACACTTTGTGTTAGGACGAACTGTGACACATCTCTGTTTCACAGGATCATACTCATCAAGGACAGTTCTTGATAGAGAATTATAACATTCAACAGATTCTGAAACATCACTATTTGAACAGTTTCCAAGGAGAGATAGTTCAGGGATTTTTTCCATAAATGATACAATATTTATTGACTTAATGTTACGTGTGTGTATCACACTCTTTGCAGCAGGAGGTTTTATTAAGTTACAAATTATGGCAGAATCGTCGGAAAGACCATCCACCACCATTACATCCGTCACATTACTTATATCTGACTGGCGAGTGATTAGCAAGTCTGGAGTGTGGCCATGTATGTGTGTTGGGACCTGAATATGTTGTTTAAGGTCATAGGCACTTAGAGTTTCGAGGAAGAGCCTGGTATTTGGCGAAACATTATGAACATGAATGTTCAAATCCCCAGCAATTAACAAACTAGAATTCTTAAAAAGAAGGCAGTCAAAGAGACAAGAGAAATCATCTATGAATTGCTTGAGAGAGGATGAGGCACAGAATATAAAACTAAATTTTGTCCGTTGTAACCAATAATGTCCCAAAAAAATTACGAGGGTATCTTTTGTACCTTTTAAGTGCGGATGGTAATAATATATAGATTCAATTATTCAATTTTATATTCATATCAAATAAAAAAGTATAATGCGTGTGTGTGCGTATGTGTGCGTGTGACTTTGTATGTGTGTGTGTGTGTTTTGTAAGGTTGTTCGTTTTCTATTGCTCGAAGATAACATCCTTAGATATTGAGAGGTTCCCTGATAAATGTTTTCACTTTATTAATACACTGTCGCTCATTTAGTTGGAATATTTTTATTTTTTAATCTTCTGTGTGCCCATGCCTTAAGCCATAATGCATGGCCGTTCAGAGGATTTTTTTATGTTGGGGACCGGGGAGAAACAGTCAATGAGTTATTGATAATTTATTGCATTTTCTTTGTTTTTATTTAATTATGGGAACTGCCCCCTACCCTAGCCCCCGCTGCGTACAGTCAGGGTTCAGTGGCAAAGCAATGGCCTCGTAACTGTGAGGCCCCAGGATCAAAACCGTGGCGATGTGTCATATTAGTGCCCTTTTGTGGGGCATTAATCCTTATTACTGTAATTTATGACTTGAGGGCGTAGGTCCCCTAGTTGATAAGCATAGTAGCAGACACATGCTTTAGCAGTCACGCAAAACAAACACTGGCAAATTATTATTCAACAACATCTGAGAATGTATACTATTATTTAGATCTATTAGGAATAATTCATTGTCAAAATAATTCCATAAATTGGAGTAACAAAAAATGATTCCAACTATAATTTAAAAAAAAAATTATGAGCGACAGTGTACATTGCACACTCACTGCTGTGAGTAACTGTAATACAATGAATACGTACCGTCGAAGTGTGTAAATCCGTTGTTTGGACTTGGGCTAGCAAGAAGGTCCTGATGAAAGGAATCCAAGAAATAGACAAAATCGTCATGATTGATTTCATACGATGTTTAATAAATGTGTATATATTTTAGTAAATATACTGCTATGTAAAAATCGCAGTTGCATAATTATCATACACGTTAACTGCTATCAGAATTTGTCAATCGCCACAAAACGGAGATAAAATTAAAGCAAAAATAACGATACACCTTTAAAGATAAACTCCAGTTCTGGTAAAAAAAAAAAAAATTAATTCTCACAGAATCAAACGAAACTTACACTGAATGTTCAAGATTACAAATAAATGACATGTGCCAAACAATTTTGGAAGAAAATGTATACTGGCTGAGTAATGAGCATAGAAAGACAAGGAAATCAAGGTAGTACTAGCCCCGACACCATGTGTGTTGTCCCATATATAGCTTTATGTGTACAGTGCTTGTTACTTTACCAAGACTCGGTCAAATTTATTATGATTTTGATGACTCCAGAACCTTGCAGTGCACACCAATACTTACGTGTTACATGATCAACTGTTTCTGATCCTTTCCACACCTTTTCTTTCACAATGCAATCGCATTACCAGTACTGAAGTTTATCTTTAATCTTTCTTGAATTGCAATGTTCGTTTGTGAAAACAATAAATCAACTGAGGGTAGATTGATATGGGTAATTGGAGAGGAGTGTATCATACTGCTTATCATCCCCTGTGTTATTTGCTTTGATGATGGGGAGGGTGAAGGTTTATATGTTAGGCCTAAAGCTCTAAAACTCGATATTATATAGACAAGTATTCCCTCCTTGTATTCCTACCTCTACCCCATCTATATCCCATTACGTCCATCAATAAAAAGAAAATATTTAGGAACTTTGACAAACTATTACTTGAAACTAGCCAAACTTAAGTATCTCCTTTAAACCCTTGATTTATTAAAATCTCGAAAACGTTATGACATAAATTTCGGGTTTAGAAAACGATATTTCAAACAATTTCCCCAAAATCTTTGCAAACAATTAATAACTACTACTTAACTAAATAATACAACTTACCGAAAGGCTAATGCTGTCAAGAAGCTCAATGTCGGCGCCTGTAAGAAGATAGAATGTAGAGAACGATCGAATTTACACGGCCAATTTTAACAAAATAAAGTTAAATCTCATAACTATGCAGCTATATTTTCCGTTGTACCCCTCCGTCTTGCTACGGTCTTTTACATTCAGAACAAGATGACAACCATTCCATATTACCACTTTTCTCCTTTTTCAATTATTATTATTAGAATGGAGAACAAGGAGGTTTTCGTTTTCTTGTTATTTTTTACTTTATTTCAGACGGCTTGCATTATATCCGAACTTCGTTTTATGAAGCTCATTTAACGCTGAACTCCGTCTCTATGATATGTGAAAGTTTCATCGATCTCTTTTAGACGAATTCGTTCATCGTTTTGTGCAATCTTGCTGGTACCTATCGAGACCAATTTTTTTTTTTAATCTTGCCGATGAAAATCGACATGATACTACAAAAATATTCGAGAATACAATAATTGCTTTAATCTTTTCAGGTTGTTCCTCCTTGAAATGAAGCGAAAATATATATATATTTTTTTTTTTTTTACAGAAGACGCTCTAAAAATCCAAGAGTCAAGTTGTCATGGCAAATTTAATAAGCTTTAATAGCCACTATTTAATTTTTTAAATGAGTAACGAGTTAAAAAATAAAAGTTATTTGGGCATACATTAGAGCATAAAACAGCGGTGAATTAAAAATAAATAATTCAAAGATTTTCTAAGCAGTTTTAGATTAGTAACAATAACATGTTAATTAATAAGCTAAAAAATAATGTAGGCCTACGATCGACATCTAATATATATGTAGGCTTCAAACTAATGGTTGCAAGAATTAAACAAGAAATCATCTATTTATTACAGTGTTATAAATATAGAAAAATGTTACTAAATGTTACTACATTAAATTGACAGTTTTGAAAAATGAACTAAATACAAGTAGGTAAAATGAACAATAAAATAAAAAGGAGATCATGGAACTTAAGAACATAAGTATACTATACGCGTTATACATAGCAGAGTCATTCATCTTACCAATCAATTTTGTTTAATGAAATAGCGGCGAGATAAAAGCAAAATCACAAAAAACGAAACTGAACTGGACCTGGAAGCGCTGGTCTACAAATATTTCCAACTACAAATAGTTGCATATAAGGCTGATCGAAGAGCAATAATGTAGTTTGGTATATTCCTCACAGGTTAAATAGGTAAACCTGAAGCCATAAACTGATGGAGGCAATCCCCGATTCCGAATTAGGCTACGGTAATTCTTGCCATGTTTTGCTGAACAGCCAGCTTGAATGGTGGAAATAAACAAAACGTGATCGCCCCCGCGTTCCTCGATCAGAGACTAATCGCAAACGAAAGAGAATGCGAGATGCGCGCGCATACATTAGGGGATTCCCAGAGTATTGGCGATGTCTGGATTGGACGGTTCTCTGGTATTGCGCAATAACTGTATGCACGTACAGGTCAAACTGAGGACATTGCGCAACATTAGTGTTTACATTTGGTTCAAGAGCATGTCATTTTGCCACGATTTACCAAAATCGAACACTGCAGATTACCATGTTGAATGAAATTAAATATACATTTACAACGGACTTAGATATCTCTATAATCATGTATTATGGGATTAGGTATAAATTATCCAAACATCTTCCTTATCTAGAAACGAAGATCCATTATTATTTTGATTAAATATTTATATAATTTTCAATAATTTTACATAAGCTAACGCATCTTCTAAAGTACAGACTTGCTTCTAGAATAAAGAACGGTTCTTTTTTCATGACGATAGCCTTCGCTATAACCATTATACACGTATTATGATTATTAGTATTATTATAAAATTATGAAATACAGTGTTCATGCCCCTATCAGGATGTTCTTAGAAAATAAAAATTCCTCTTCGACCAATTATGGCAAACTATCATGTGATTTTTATTTAACCTACCAAAATCTTGCTGAAGCCCATTCGAAAGATTCGGGAAAAAGTCTACATCCATAGACTCTGAAAATGACGAAAGATCAACTCCGTCATTCATGGTAGACATTATGTGGCTGAAAAAAAACATGAAAATATGATTATACAGGGATGCAATTTTTTTTTTCCGTAGAAATTCCGATTTTGAAAATCTTTCAAAAGAACTATATAAGACAACATAGATATTGACTTTCGGATTATTGTGTATCCCCCCCCCCCTCTCTCTCTCTCTCTCTCTCTCTCGCTGTCTCTATACATTCTCTATGTCTACCTATTTATAACAAGTTCTTATATTCGTATAAAGGTAAATGTTTCAGAATTGTGAAAACCTTTCGTAAAAATATTCATCTTTTTTTGCTTGTTTGTTTTGTCTGATATTGTTTTAAATTTTGTTTTGTTTTTGTTTATTTCTCTGTTTTGGATGTTTTTGTTTTGTTCAATTTCTACTTAAAATCTCAAGCAAAATAATTATCATTTCGAAATGTTGAACCTGATTTGTTACTTTTTTCTTGTTTACATTATTTTTTAGGTTTGGCAAAGGGACATTGAAAAGTCTATATAAGTTTACATATATATATATATATATATAGTAAACTGTATAACATGTATAATTTGTACAATACAAATTTTACTCTGATATATATATATATATATATATTCTTTTTTTTTCCTTATCGACTTGGTACAAAATCATGCAATCTTCCTTCTTGATTTACAATTTTTTTTCTTGCAAATGATACCCTTCTCCCGGGACCCTTCTACAGTACAGTGTCCATCGCTGTATCCTCATTTTCCAATAATCCCATATAAAATCAATGGTTCTGTCTTTCGGTGCCATATGGGCATGGAAAGAAGAAGAGGGGAAGACCTCGTAAAGGCTTTCTAGACGATGTAATAACAGAATGTGGAGAAACGCTGAAACGGATGGCTCAAGACCGAGGAACTTGGAGAGACACTTGATATACACTTTTGATTGGGTCACTGAACCTGTCATAAACTGACAGATCACTATTGAGGGGCATGCACATGAGATAACAATAAACATTAATTAAAAATCGACCAATCGTTAGGCATGTAAAAACACGTCATTTCATACTCAAAGAGTAGTATACCCTAATAGGGCTATTATGTGGGACGATATTTTGTTATTCGGGAAAATCAGTGTTCGGGTTTTACCCAACTCATGTATTGTCATATTACCAAGCAAGACTGTAGAATGGTGAACTGAATGAGGCAGTTTCGACGTCGTCATCGCAGTCGACGAGCAATGATTAAATCGACATCGGCAAATGGTAAGAACTTAAGTGATATTTCATGTGGCCTGATGCTGTACATAAATAACCAATGTTGACATCTCCTAAGGGGGTAGCTTTCAAGGGGGTGATTGTAATATTTCATTATTATTGACATACATAATATGCTTACTAGTGGGTATAAAGGTCATTAAAAAGAGTAATCTTTAGTTTTAAAATTGTACTGAAAGCCATTTCTTTGAAATATACATTAACATTATTTGGCATGAATAAGATTAATTCCTAATTGATCACCATGTGCTAGCAGCATCATAAGGTTGTCATATAATCCTATAGTTACAAATTGCCAACCAATGTCATATTTGTCTAATCACTATGCTTCCATGTATCGTGTATAATCGATTCCAGATAAAAGGGCACGAGTTTAAAAATTGCCGTAATATAGCTTTTGTTTCATAACTGTAAAATGGCCTAATCTGTATTTCTGTATTTTAAATGTAATATCTTTCAAAGTCGATTTTATACATATTTTCCACCTCGTAATTTGTCTTTTTCTTCTATGAATACAATTTCTGCTACAGGTCTCATCGCTCTATCGCACGAGACTACGTACAGTCTAAAAATAAACGGGGAGGACAATATGGGTACAAAGGTCGTTGACAATGAATAGTTTTATTATTTGGAATGGATACAGGTACATTTCCGTGGTTGGTTACGCAGGGGTAGGGGAATCAATAGTAGGCCTACACAATACAGCACGGCCTACGAGTAAAACACTCATCATTCTACGCACCGTATTGATCTGTATTATTTCACACAACTGCTAAGCACCACCATTACTCTTATATTCAAAACTATTTGGTAGTACTCTTGGTCAATAATATCCATCGTTAATATAGGAAGTCCACAACTAACAATCTCACTTATGTCACCGAGAATTAGTCAAAACAAGAACAAATGACAATCTGCGTAACTATTACGAATAATCTAACCCCTCCTTAAAGAATGCCTGCAGGTAGGAGGAATATAAAAAAAAAAAAATCGGAAATCTATAAACTAATTCTATACCGAGCCTTGTTTCCCACCCCATGCATGAGATATAAATGTCGCTCTTTCCCCCTGTCTATCTGCCATTCATTTATATGTATATATATATATATATATATATATATATATATATATATCTTTCTGTCTCTTCTAATGAAAAATACACAGTCATAAATAATGTAGTTATGAAGACCTTTGCATGTAAATTTCATAAAACCCTATTTACACCCAATTGACTTTTAATAATTATACTGATACTATATATTTCACGCTGATTGATTCTAGTCTGTCATAGGTTATATGGTGAAATGAGTTGTTGGTCATTTGTAGGTTTAGAATTACAATGTTATCAATTCTAGAGAGGATCTAAAGAATTACCTTTAGGCCTAAAGATTTGGAAAATTTCTTAGAATTGGATATCCAACTTCAAATTTCCATTGAGATATGTGGTATCAAAGTGAATTATACAGAATCAGTCAATTTCTTCAAGGCATGTATTAACAAAATACATCATTAATATTTTAAAATATGATAAAAGGGATGTGCGTTTATTTATTCACTTTATTTACTTTTTCATCCCTTTTTAGATTCAATGAATTCAGAAAAACATTTTAAATAGAATAATAAAGGATTTATGATAGGCCTATTAATTATGAGTAGGTGGTCGACCCCATAACGCTGATATTTAAGATTTGAAGGACTTCATAAATATAATAAATTGATTCTCCTGGAGTATGATAGATTATAATGGTAACGACTTTCATTGAAAACAAAATATGATACACCTCCAAACAAAAAATATCCAAATCAACTAGCAAATGGGCCGGACTTGCCCTTTATTAAGACTATCCTTCAATCTAAATGGAGCGATTCATGTATTTTCAATGTATTTTCTTCTCCACATACTGCATGTGTTGAGCTTGGACAGTGACGTCATTGATATCACATACGGTCTGTGGTGAATTCGAGTAAGTAAAATTATACTGATAGTGACTCAAAATCGAGCTATTGATATTGGTGAACAAATAAAAAGGAAACCACAACACATTCTAAATTACACAACAGAATTTAGAAATCAAAGGTCGTTACAAAAATCTACTTGGCTGTTTTAAATAAAATTATTCTTTCTTGAATGGATCAAGTTTGAAATTGAAAATAAATAATTATTGATTTTCAGCAAAGGAGGAAACACATGTTTGTTACAAATGGCTGTGTCACGTCCAAAACCAGACCATCGAAACTTACCTTTCAAATAGATAATAGTGATGATTCAATCAGTTTAATACTAATAGCTGACACTGCACTGTCCGCCCACGGGTCACCTGGATGCGAGGTCAATCGAATGACCTAATTAAGACAAGTCCGAACAAGAATGAAACAAAATTATGTTTCATCAACTCACTTATCACGTCTGAGTCACTCCAAGAAAATATCTGCAATGTACAAAGAGGAATTTTCCGTCTCGAGTCACTTCGAGCTCTTTCTAACGCGATATCTGCATTGAATTACACGCTAACTGGTGGGCTGTGTCGTTTGTTCACGTGGCGAATTCAAGTGTAACTTTTAGTTCTAGCGTACCCTCCAAATATATTCCTTCACCGTAAAGCAGTTAGGCTATATATATAATTCATATTATGGTCAAATGCACGAGTAGTTCCTGTTATGTACTGTTCTTGTCAACAGACTTCTAACACAACACATACTTAGTCCGAGGACACGTATTCTAAATCAGCAAAATGTAGTAGACATTACGTACGCTATGCAGTGCATTACTATGTAGGGGTTTTCCATACGGTGAAAATCCCCTTTGCCAGCGTTGTAACGGGGAAGCCCCGAATTTTCCAGACGAATTTATAGAGGGCGCCATTATATTTCCTATCTCTTTGTATATCGATGTGGAAATAATAGGCTGCCCGTCACTGTAATTATGCCTATAGTCAGCCTCTAGAATTGTATTCTTTATGTGATCTCAATGTACAGGGTGATGAATTTTATGATGCCCTCGTATGCCCGGTCTGAAATGTTAATACAATAAATTGACCTATTATCAAATTTCATTCACAAAATCGAAGCAGTAGACCTTCAGTATCTGCATGTACATGTATATAGATATATACAATACAATGTATGTTATTTTATTTTATTTTTTAGAAAACTATACGTACCTTTAGCTCTGACAATATCTTATATAGAGTACTTAAGTAATTTTGTATTATCTTTCCTTTAATTTATTGTGTATTGTTTGCTGCCAAAAAACCTTTCTTTCGAAAGTTATGTTTTTTTACTGTCTTTCTTTGTAAAATATCATCGTTATATATGTATTATTCTTTAAGAATGAACAATAAATCGGGTAATCACCTAAGCTATGACATAATTGTTCACATTTATTTGTTTGGAGCCGCTCCTACGTGCCAAGTTCACTGGCTAATAAATTAGGTTCACAGACTTTTAATAGACATGGAAACCCGAAAAATATGATAGTTATCTTCAGCAGCAAATGTTCAACATTTAGTAATTTTATGTGATAAAAAAGTGACTTGCCAACTTGTGGTAGGACCCGTTTATTACACATTTGTATTCATAAAAGTGGTAATATATTTGGAACGATCAATTTCCGCAGTGCATTCCCCTTATTCGAGAAGCGACTTCTTTATATAGATTTCTTATCAAAATTTTATTTTTTAAGTGTAAAGGCTTCCAGCATAAGTTGGAGCATCGCATTTCTTCAAATGTTATTCTTAAAAATAATGTTTACGGTTATTTTTCAACAAAATGACGCAATAAAAACTACGCATATCAAAAGTAAATGCAGAACACGATATAATTGTGAATCACAGCTGACTAGAAGACAGACTCTGGTTAGTAAACAAAAATATGGTTGGAATGTCGAGGTATAGCTCATCGCTTGGAGTTTCAAATTATGTCAACTGTCCTTCGACTAGTTTGGCGCTTCTTTGTATTAAAGCGAAGGATGTACCTTGCTCGACGAAGATGGCGTGTGGATGGTATTTAGAAATTTTCTTGATAAAAAATCTACCGAAACGCTTATACATGCATTTATTACATGCCGTCTTGATCAATGCAACAGCCTTCTTTATGGCCTTCCGGAGTCGCACATTGCAAAACTCCAGAGAATCCAAAACTCTGCTGCCAGGCTTGTAACACGCACACGTTCTTGTGAACACATCACCCCAGTACTTCGCGAATTGCATTGGTTGCCGGTGACGTACCGCATCATGTACAAAATCTTAGTTTTAACTTATAAATGCATTCATGAATTGGCACCAATTTATCTGCAAGAATTAATCGAGGAATACAAACCCTCACGCAATTTACGGTCATCTTCACAATTAAACCTCGTATCTACTTCTGTGTCAACTCTCTCTTATGGTAATCGCTCCTTTCGCAAAGCTTCTGCTGAACTTTGGAACAAATTACCTTTAAATGTAAAAAACTGTCAAACCGTTAACCTATTCAAAACTAGTCTCAAGACACATTTATTCAAAATTGCGTTCGATGATTAATTATCTCTGTTCACTTTGATGTGTATTCCATATGTATTGTTATTTGTAGGTTTATTTGCATTTTTAGTTTTGTATAAGATGTAATTGTATATCAGTCTATTTTGTGTGTATAGCGCTTAGAGACTTCGGTGGTAAGCGCTTTATAAGTAACGTTTTTATTATTATTATTATTATTATTTTTGTTTTACTGACACGATAAGCCAGTTCATAGATGCAATCTGCGCATGGGCAGATAAAGGTCATTTGTACCAAAAAGGTAAAACCCACCAGAGATGAATACTAGATATGCGCTCATGAAAGTTATGTAACATTATTCATTTATGCACCCACGGTACATTCTAAGATACGCAGGTGGAAGTATTCTTTTCAAGAGGGCAAATAAAAGGTATTCATGAAGCACATCTAGGACTTTGGCAGTTATTATTCTAAGATGCTCGAAGTAGAACTTCTCCATGTGTAAAAGATCTGTGGATGTTTGGGGTCATTTGTACCATGTGCTATCTGTAAACTCCCTTATTCATGAGCAGAAAATCGACACAATAAAAAGTCCCCTATCCGGGAATCAGGTATAATTTTTCCTTCACAAAAAGCTGTATAATATCTGGTACACTCCTTGGTCCTATATAAAAATATAAGAAAACAACGAACATACAGTTATGACAGAATAAATTGTTCCATGGTACAATTTTACATTATAAGGAATACCGCACGTTGGTTTAATCATTCACAGAAAGTAAGGACCCCGAACAACATGCCTTGAGAGAAATAATTATGATATCTTGGTATCTGTCATAAAGAATACATCCGAAGGGCGTAGTTAAACGGGAATAATCAGTTTATTTTTCCTGTTTAAATCTAGCCTATATCTATATACTCAACTGGGGCCGTCCAACCCCCCCCCCCCCCCCCTCCTCCCACCTTTTTCTCTCTTCTCTCTCTCTCTCTCTCTCTCGGGTATAATGTTTCTCTCTCTTCCTCCTCTTTCCCTCTCACTCTCCCTCTACTCTCTCTGTCTCTTCCTCTTCGTTGCTTTAAAAAAAATGTTCACTCACTCCTCTACCCTTTCTTTCCCATCCCGCTCTCTCTCTCTCTCTCTCTCTCTCTACTATTTTTCCTGTTTATCTCTCTTCCTCCTTTTTCTCTCTCTCGATTGCGACGGATATAATATATCACCATAGTACGTGTACACTCATTTCTCGTTTTTCATCCCCCCCCCTCATCTTATCGGGAGGTTCGCAATAACTTCATTATTCTAAATTTTATTCTGCATGGTCATTAAGTTATTCGCCTACCAAGATATTCCGGGAAAAACCTTTTGATGATTTTTCCGATTATAATAACCATTATTAGCAACATAAGACGATATCTCAAAGAGCCAGAAATTAATTTCCTTCGAATGTTTGTAACCAAATACCTCACATACAAAACAGAAGAACGTAGAATAATTAAGTACGAATAAAACCTGTCATCTTAAACATAATAATTCGATGTGGCTACATAACTCTTTTCATGCATTTTGAGCTCTTTATTTATCCAATTTTACAATAAGTTATCTGTACATTGAGCAAAAAGGAAAGAATTTACCGGCAAATTTCTATAAAAAAAGGAATAGAATATGGCACACATGATATGCTTGTGAACTCAGCAAATACTGGCATGGATACATGGAAAGATTATTTATCTTGTACCTTGAAAGTTGCGGATCTTGTAATAGGCCAATTTTCATTATACGTGTATATGTATTATACTTCTACAGTACATCTTTAACACCATTAATATCTTTTGTAACTATAAATTTAAAATAACAACGGAACTCATTATAGGTGATCCCATCTGTATTTAATAGGTTTGAGTTAGAGTTTCCTCTACATTCATTTATTCTCAATAAAAAGAAATAAAGTAAATGAAAAGGTTCGAATAATCGAGTATATAAAATGATTAGAATTAAAAATGTAGGATTAAAAAAGTAAAGGAGGTGCTTTTAGAAGACAAGGCTACTACTTAACATGGTCATAGCAGACTAAATTATATCATTTATTTGTTCCTATAGCTATGGACAAAACAGGAAAGAATAAACAATAACACAGGACAAAACATTAATATAACATTGTAAAGCATAAGTTTTGGTATAATAAAGTAATTATTTACATACACTGTGTCCATACATTATTCAATAAGGTATGGACAGTTGGAAACCGTTGTTAAGGCAGTATAATGCAGATGGCGATCTCTCACTTTAATACAAAATTTAAAAAAGTGGATTTAGAAATTAATTAAAAAAAATTAATTAATCAAAAAGTCTTATAGTTATCGACGATAGAAAATGATACCACTCGTTTTTTTTTTCTTGGTGGTAATAATTGTTTAAAGTTTTTAATTTCCTGTTGTAACAACTTCTTTATTCAAAGAAAAGTATTACAATATACAACTTAGCACATGCACAATAACAACAATTATATTAATTTCCATGATGTATTCATGAAGAACCTAAATGAATTATACAATACGGAAAGAAAGCGAAACGTGTAACAAGTATAAAGTATAAAGAGGGAAATAGAGTAATAGAGTAAATGGGCATGGTGTGACACGATGAGAAACTTTTGTATTCCTTGCGTAAATGTTCACCTATGCGTAATGGCAAAACGCAGGTCCCAGAATATTGAAAGGTCACTAGTCTCAAGGGGAGAGGGTGGGGGACGGGGAAATGCGAGAAAGCAGGGCCCTCGTGTATAGGTGTAAGGAAAACAGAAAGGTATCGTCTTTCATCTGTCTCACCCATCTCCCTATCATTCTTTCCCATCCCCCTGCTTTTTTTTTATTCAGCCGACTAAAAGGGAATGTGCCCCTTGTAGTTATGACACTGTGTAAATTTCTGAGCATTTATACAAGTAAACTTACACATTTAAAAAGGAAATAAATGGTAACTGAAGACAATAACCAATAATCAAAATATTTTCATATCTTATTCCCTCATTGTCATGTAGTTATCATTGATCACTTAGTTTCCTGTAAATCTAAAGAGTATTTAACGATTCTTCAGAGGCCGTTTCTTATAAAGACAATGCTTCCACATCTAGATACATGATTTTAACATATTGCAATGATATCGATCGTTATTCTCTTAATTGGTCAACGTCTTATTGCACAAGTAAATGGAAACCTAATTTTTAAGTTCCAACATCAATTTTGCATTTTATTACAATTACAACACCTCTGCACTAGAAAATGGTTTTCTATTTTTTATTCCGACAGCGCGACGACTTAGGGCCCTTCAAGGTATTAATCCTCGGTAGAAGTAATACAAGTTTGCTATCAAATGATATGCATGAGGAGAGACTCTGAGAAAAACAAAACGGAAAAAAGAGGTGAATTCCCGCTGTCCTTAAACTACTCTCAACCATAATTATAACCATTATCTAATGGACATTTGCAACTTAGCGCTAATTGTAACTTTGTCAAAATATATGAAATATTTCTTTCTTTTGGATACCTGGTATCTGCTAGGACAACAATTAAAAGCCATCTATAATTTCCCCTTTTTCCCTTCTTTACATTCTCACAGTCTGCTAAAAATCATACGATTGTTTTATTTTTATTTTTATATATACATGAATAAACTGTTTGTATTTAAGTAAACAAAAAATTGTTTTGCCAATGGAAAAAAAGGATTTGAAATAAATTATCACTGTGGAACACTCTGACTTGCTTCATTGGAAATGCCGAAAAGGCTGGAATGTAGTGATTCAGGACTCCCAGTTGACTTGACATCAAGTTTTAAATCCTTCACCATCACGCAAGCTCGTGTAGGATCAACCCTGGCCCATACTAACTTGGTTGTTAAAGGCGACGTCTTCGTGTCCCAATTCTGGGCAAAGCTGAACCAAATTGCAGGCAGTCTTAATTTGGTGCCATACTTCGCGCTAGTCTTAAAGGTTTGCTTGAATTTTTCCCAGTTGAAGACCTCAGTCTCCTCGTTCCTATTCAGCATTTTGGCTAGAGAAGAACCAGTTTGTTCTTCAGTATGGTGCCAATAGAGCTTGGTATATGATCTTCTTCTTGCGTAGATGTTCCCTTCTCGCGAGTAAAATTCAACTCTGTAACAAAATCAACATCAGAAACAAAACTGGTGAGATACAAAGGTAAACCACTAGAACTATCAAGGGGAAGGGGCCTCGGGATGATCCGGCAACACGGTCTGACAATCTTGGTAACGGCTGAACATTTTGCGTTACAGAGATGCTTTTTGTATGGCATTATGAACAATCCGATGTAGGACATCAAGTTTTACTATGAAACGATTCCCTTGTCAACACAACACCATTCTCAAAAGCTAGGAATTATGAACTTAAGAGTAATTTATTCCTTACCCTCGATAGAAGTTGTTCAAAATCAACTCGGTGAATTGCTTCTGTTTATCATTACCCCACGGGAACTCTTGCAGGGAGCCGTCCCGTTCATTCTTGATCTTGACTGGAATCGATATCCTATCTACCTCAGCTGTGATAGGTGGTCGGTCTCGGTCTAATGGCTGATAATGAAGTAAGCATCCTCCCTCATTAGTGACGTTTTTCTCTAGCATGGGTGTCGACATGAACTTGACGCTTACCTTGAAATGGTGATCTGAAAAACCAGGAAAAATGGGGACGAAATTTGTTGAAATTTCTTTTATGAGTTGGTATTTATAGCATTTTTATATCTCATAATCACGGTTCAGTCGTTAGTTGCGTTGATTACTATCAGATAGACATGAGCTTTCAGCTACTATGACAGATGCAGACAGTGTATTATTCCATTTTAATGAATGTATGTTGTTAAATCATGCCTTTATTTCTTATAAAAGGAATACATGTGTACATTCAAGACCAAGTCCATGTTCCCTTTCCGAAACCACGGCAGGTCGCACTACATAATTATAAAACATATACAAACAATAATGCATTACAGTTACAAAAATATATCAATCATGCATAATAACAATTATATATTAATCATGTATAGTAATATGATTACATGATTGTAAACTGAGTCCTATATACACTTCTGTCTTAGTGACGTAGCAGGGCGCTTGGACAACTAATCTCACCATCCCTCTCATCAGTAGGCTTGGTAATTCGCATTTCATTTTCAGAGTAAAACTATAGTGTCCCCTCTCCTTCGGCTTTAAAAGGAAAGGCCATCGGGATTCCCAAAATCGTATTCTGGGGAGGGAGAATTGTGACATCAGAACATCACTATAGAACAAGAGAAGGAACATTATAAAGAAATATTATTTAAACAAAAACAATTACAAAAAACACCTACATTCCGGCAACTTGTAATCGGAAAAGTACCCTCCAGCTTCTGCAGTTGTGCCGTTTGCTGTTGTACCGGATGTAGCTTGGGTTTGTCCCTGTCTCTGTGTAGCCATTCTACTAGCCGAAGGTCCCTGGGAGTGGTCATTCGACTGTACTGCATTCCAAAGACAAATAGCAAGGTTTTACGTTGATCACGATCCAAGCTCACATGTTATTGTAATTACATTTTACTTTTACCATGGCACCTCACACTGGCGCACAGCACCTTCATCCCAGGATAGCTTCTAGGAGCTACTGTAAGGGATTGTCAATTCAAGGTTAACTCCATGGTTCATGGTACCATGTTTCTAACTTTCCTTCTGCTGCTAGGGCATATTTTATGATTTCATGAGTCATCTGAATATCTAATATTAATTTTGTGTAAATAAGTGGAGAATTGCTATTTCTTTGCTACTTCTGCTTTGACAAAGATGTACTTTTTTCAAGTCAAACTGTCAACCAACAACAACAAAAAACATACATTTCTTACAAGACATGTTACCAGGTCAATGTAGGTGGCATAATGAAAAGTTCTCTCGCTGGTCATACTCACTTGAGGCATTTCTGGTTGCGTTCAATTCAAAGGATCCAAGGCTCTCTCCAAGTGCATTAGGGTCTGCCATAAGCGTTTCTCTGACATTCTCCGAGTTCACCCGCATTGGATCAATGTCTGCTAGACTGCTGTCAATCCTCTCTGATTGGAGCGAGCCATCATCGGGACCGAAGAAAGGAACAGCGTTGGCCTGTGGGGTCATCGGTGACACGGCGCTAAAAATGGGGTTGCTGAAAGGACTATGGATATCCAAGTTCTGGGAAAAACCTCCATAATTATCAGGATTTACCTGAATAGCTGCTGCTTCCGAGAAGTTTGCCTCCATAGCGTCCATTGCTGTGCACGCAAAACAAGATTTATTTTTTCATAATGTTTTAGCAATCAAGAATTATTGTGACCTGTATAGATCAAAATAGAGAGATGACACAGAATAGAAAACTAAGCATATGTCCGTGTTAACCAATAATGTCAAAAAATAATTACCTTGGTATCTTTTGTACCTAATTTAAATGCGAATGGTAACAATATATATATGCAATTATTCAATTTTCTATTCATATCAATCGAAAAGTATAAATGCGTGTGTGTGTGCGTGTGTGCGCGTGTGTGTGTGTGTGTGATTTTGAATGTGTGTGTTTGTTGTAAGGTTGTTCGTTTTCCATCGCTCGAAGATAACATCCTTAGACATTGTGAGGTTCCCTGATAAATGTTTTCACTTTGTTAATACACTGTCGCTCATTTAGTTGGATTTTTTTTATTTTTTAAAAATCTTCTGTGTCCCATGCCTTGAGCCATAATGCATGGCCGTACAGAGGATTTTTTTATGTTGGGGACCGGGGTAAAATGCAATGAATTATTGATAATATATTGCATTTTATGTTTTATTTTTTATTTTTGGAACTGCCCCCTACCCTAGCCCCCGCTGCGTACAGTCAGGGTTCAGTGGCAAAGCAATGGCCTCGTACCTGTGAGGCGCCAGGATCGAAACCGTGTCGATGTACAATAATAGTGCCCTTTTGTGGGGCATTAATCCTCATTACTGTCATTTATGACTGAAGGGCATAGGCCCCCTATTTCATAAGCATAGTAGCATACACATGTTTTAGCAGTCACGCAAAACAAACACTGGCAAATTATTATTCAATAAAATCTGAGAATGTATACTATTATCGAGATCTATTAGGAACAAATCATTGTCAAAATAATTCCATAAATTGGGGTAAAAAAAATATTCCAACTTTATGAGCAACAGTGTATCTATATTATCAATCAAATTAACAAGAATTATCGTGACCTGTATAGATCAAAATAGAAAGATGACACAGAATTTGAAATCAGACATAGTTATGCCCGTTTTAACCAATTACGTCAAAACACAATTATGTAGGTAGGCCTATACTTTAATTTGTACTTAATTTAAATACAGATAGATGCAAGTATTCAATTTTATATTGATATAAAAGTTAAGTATAAAATATTTAATGTGCGTGTGTGTATGTGTTTTTATTTTAGGGTGATCGTTTCCCATCGCTCGAAAGAGACATCCTTGGATATGGAGAGGTTCCCTGAATGTATGTTTCACTTTCTTTATATAAATAATAAACAACAATGGGTTCAACGATATTTTTAACGATCAGATCACAGCTGGACTATTCCCTTTAAGGATTTCTTAAGACTATATGGTAGTAAATCTATTTTTGAAGATTATTATACAATTTAGAAGCTACCAAAAATCGAGGATATCCACCCATTTTACGTTATCTTATTAAAACCATGATTAAAAGGGGAAAAGAAATCATCTTGATTATAACGTAAACAAATATGTCTTGAGGGCGACTTTGAACGTGTTGAACGTTGGTGCTGTTCAGATGTGTGGAGGGAGGGGGAAAATGGCACACTTACTGGTGTGAGCTACTATATACAGTGAATACGTACCGTCGAAAAATCCGTTGTTTGAACTTGGGCTGGTAAGAATGTCCTGTTGAAAGGAATCCAAGAAATAGAAAAGGTCGGCATGATTTGATTTCATACGATGTTTACATAAATGTGTATATAACATGTATTTGGTGCATATACTGCTGTGTAATAATCACATTTGCATACTTATAAATACATGTAAACTGCCATTAGAATTTTCAATCGCCTCAAAACAAAATTTAAATTTAAAAAAAATTAAAATAATGATAGGCATAATCTTTCTCGAAATGCAACGTTCGTATTAAAACTCCCCAAAATATATCAACTGAGAACAGATTGATATGTGCAATTGAAGTGGAATAGTCCTATATCATATTGCTCATCATCATCCACCTTGTTATTTGCTTTGATATCGGGAGGGGGTGAGTTTTGTAGGTGAGGCCTATAACTCTCAAACTCGACACTATATAGGGAGAAGTATTCCCTTGAAGTGTTCCTACCCTACCCCCGCCCCATCTATATCACATTACGTCCTTTTAAAGAATATTAAGGAACTTTGACAAACTGATACCTTAAATTAGCAAGAATTAAACTTTTCCTCTAATAGAAAAGCCCGTGAAAAATACCTTGATTTAACAAATCTCGAACTTTTTAGGAACTAAAATTTCGGGTTTAGAAAATGATATTACAAACAATTTTCCCCAAAATCTTTGAAAACAATTAATACCAACTTAAATAAATAATATTTACCGAAGATTCAAGTCCATTAAGGAGCGCAATGTCGGCGGCTGTAAGAAGATATGAAAGAATGCAAAGAACGATCGAATTTATACTGCCTATTTTAACAAAATAAATTTAAATTTATAGACGTCATTTTTTTTTTACGATACAGTTATATTTTCCGTTGAACCACTGCGACTTGCAATGGTTTTTAGCATTCAGAGCAAGATGACAACCATTCAATATTACCATTAGAATGGAAGACAGAGGAGAATTTTGTTTGTTTGTTAATTTTTTTTACTTTATTTCAGACGGCTTGCCTTATATCCGAAATTAATTTTTATAAAGCTTCAATATTTAACGCTGAAATCGGTTTCTCTTTTAAATCTGTCAAAAATTCATCAATCTCATTTTAACGAATTCATTCATCGATTTGAGTAATCTTGCTGTTAACTAACGAGATCGGAGATTAAACAAAGATCAATTGTCGATGAAATTCGATACGATACTATACACAAAATTATTCGATGTTGCAATAGTTATTTTAATCTTTTCAGGATGTTCCTCCTTGGAATGAAGTGAAAAATAATATTTTGTTTACAGAAGACCCTATTAAAATATAACAGTCAAATTATCTTGGCAACCCGTTTATAAACATCAGGATTTTTTCTGATTTGAATCCATCTTTGATAGCAACTATTTTATTTTTAAAATAAGTGTCAAGTTATAAATAAAAGTTAATTTGGCTTACAATAGAGCATAAAACAGTAGTGAATTAAAACAATAGATAATTTTATTTATTTTTTATTAAGTGGTTTTAGATTAATATCAATAATCTAATATAGCCTATATTTAGGCTTCATAATAATGGCGGCAACAATTAAACAAGAAATCATCTATTTGTTACATTGTAATAAATATAGTACAATGTGAATATGACATTAAAGGGATCCGGTAACTTTGTCTCAGATTCTGAAATAAAATTCTGGATTTAGCTCATGATGCAATGATAATTATAAACCTTAAGGTCAGTCAGGAGCCCCATGACTTTTACAAGCCGATCGCCTGTCTGATTATCAAGATATTTATGATTGGAATTACAAATTTTGAAAACCGTTCGCCTGACGGTTTTCATAACACTACAGTCTATTGGGGAAAACGAGTATGGTAAAACCGGTCACTCAAAGATTTTTACTTTTTTGAGGCACTTCTTGATCATTTTGAAGCGCAATTTTTTTAGGGCTTCAATATTACACCATATCACAGACACTGATAACACGTAGGGCCGTGTATCTCAGATTTAACATTGTTAAACGATCCCTTTAAACTGACAGTTCTGAATAAGAAAAAAATAATTTAATACAAGCAGGTAGAATAAACAATAAAAGAAAAAGGAGATCAAGGAAATGAAGAACATAAGTATGCTGTACGTGTTATTCCTACAGCTTAATCAATCAACATACCAATCAAATATTTATTTTTTCATTTCCGGTATACTGAAATAGCGGCGAGATAAAAGCAAAATTACAACGAACGAAACCGAAAGTTGTTGAACTGATCTGGTAATAATACTGTCGTCTGGAAGCGCTGGTCTCCCACCCCCCCCCCCCACCCCCACTCCGAGAACGGACGGACCCCATGCGTGCTGCCAAAATGTCCTTTTCGTAACAAAAGAAAAAGGTCGACCCGTATTGACTTTACACACCGGACTTTTGCTGAAAAGGGGGGGGGGGGTGCTGAAAAAGGCTCGTATACAAAAGAAAAAGGTCGAGCCGTATTGACTTTACACACCGGACTTTTGCTGAAAAAGGGGGGGGGGGGTCGGTTGGAACACGCATATGCGTACCCTAAATAACACTGAGTGGGGGGGGGCGGGGCTGGTCTACAAATGTTTCCAATGACAAAGAGTTGAATATGCGGCACTTCAACTGATCACAGAGCAAGAGTGTAGTTTGGTATATTCTTCACAGGTTATATAGACAAACCTGATGCCATAAACTGATGAAGGCAATCCCCGATTTCGTTCTTGCCATGTTTTGCTGATCAGCTAGCTTGAATAGTGGTAGTAAACAAAACGTAATCGCCCTCGCGTTCCTCGATCACAGACTAATCGCAAACGAAAGAGAATGCGAGATGCGCGCGCATACATTAGGGGATTCCCAGAGTATTGCGATATTTGGATTAAACGGTTCTCTTGTATTGAGCAATGACTGTATGCACTTACAGGTTAAATTGAGGACATTGCGCAACATGAGTGTTTACATTTAGTTCAACTTCACGAGCATGTCATTTGGACATGATTCACCAGATCGAGCACAACAAAATCACTATGCTGAATGAAAATAAATATACACTTCGAACTTGGCACGTTTCACAACGGACTTCTATATTAATCGATTTCTTTTTCTTACATTTCAAATTCAATATCTCTATAATCCCATGGATTATAGGAATACGTATAGATTATCCAAAAATCAGATCACTCTGAAGTACAGACTTGCTTCTAGTATAAAGAAAAGTACTTTTTCATGATATAGCGTTCACTTTAATCATTATACACGTATAAAATTATTATCATCATTATTATTATATACATTATAGAGACAATATCCATGCCCCTATCATGATGTTCTTAGATAATTATAGAAATACCAGTATTTGCCTTCAATTATGGCAAAATTCTTGTGATTTTTGTTTTAACCTACCAGTATATTGCTGGAGCCCATTCGGGAAAAATTCGTCATATACATCCATGGACTCTGGGATTGACGACTGATCATCTCCGTCATTCATGATGGACATTATGTGGCTGGATGAAAAAGAAAAAAAATGATTATATATGAAGGCATTTTCTAGAAAGAAAAAAAAAGAAATTGAACTTATAAAATTCTTTCTAAAGATATATAGTACGACAACTTCGCAGTCCATATTTAGATATTGACTTTCGAATTTAATTTTGTTAACGTTAATTTGTATTTTTAGGTTTAAAAACATTTACATGTATAACCATATCTGTCGGGGGGGGGAGGGGCTTATCACATCCACTTAGTTCAAAATCATGTACTCTTCCTTTTTAAGTTACATACTTTTTTTCGCAAATGATACTCTTCTACAGTACAGTGTTCATTGCTATACCATAATTTTCTAATAATCCCAAATAAAATCAATGGTTCTGTCTTTCAGTGTCAAATGGCATGCGCATCATTTAATTAAAAATCAACCAATCGTTAGGCATGTAAAGATACGTCATTTCGTACTCAAGAGCATTATATCCTAATAGGGCTATGTGGCACGATATTTTGTTTTTTGGGGGAAAACCGCTGCTCGGGTTTTTACCCAACTCATGTATTGTCATATTACCAAGCAAGACTGTAGAATGGTGAACTGAATGAGGCAGTTTCGACGTCGTCGTCGAAGTCGACGAGCAATGATTCAATCGACATCTGCGAATGGTAAGAACTTGAATGATATTTCATGTGGCCTGAATTCTGATCATAAATAATCAATGTTGACATCTCTTAAGATATTTTTTCTAAAATTGTTCGCTTTAGCTCTGTGAGCTAAAATTGCTTTGATAATTAATTAAAATTATACCCGCTTCTGCATAAATAAATTATGTCATAATAATGTCATTAATAATATTTCTAATTTGTAACTTACAGAATCTTCAAGAGCTTATAATTTTAGACTAAATGTCACGTCTAGTAGCTGATGAGATACCAACTTGTTGCAATTAAATGGAAATCAAACTTCTAAATGAAGGTAATTCGAACAGGAAATTTTGTTCAAATGTTAGTAGTAATACAAACAACTGTGTATTTATTAAATTGTATATTTATATTTATTTATATTTCGTGTGTTGCAGTTTATTCATTAATAGGCAACGAGACAACCAGTAAAAAAATAAATAATAATAACATTAATTTTTGTTGAAGCAAGTTTGCGATACTAGCCTATAAATCCAGTTTCTAGGTCAATACTTATTTGGAACCTTATATTAATATATTGTTCATCAATTGCGTCTTTTGTTATGTTTTATCTCTGGTTTCTATTCTTTTTCTGTTTAGCTGGGAGTGTGATAGATTCTCGGTCACAGGGTGTGATTATCTCATAAGGTACTTAGTACATGCACGCTTGTAGACTCATAACTTTTTATATGCTAGAGAGCGAGCAGTCAAACGTACACGAGTAAGTCTCTCTCTATCTCTCTTTCTCTCTCTCTCTCTCTCTCTCTCTCTCTCTCTATATATATACCCCTCTATCTTTCTCTCTTGTAACACGTATCTTGTTGTCATTTTGCAATTGCAATGACCTTGTACATGTACCATTTGGCTTCAGTATTAACCATTTTTGTATCGCATATCAAGATTTTGATAATAATAAAAAGCGTTCAACGGAAAAACCCGAGGGAAATTGCGATTTGAAATTATTATTGACATATAATGCTTACGAGTTGGTAAAGGTCATGAAAAAGAGTAATCATTAGTTCTAAAAAAATTATCTTAAAGTCATTTCTTTGAAATCTGCAACACTTACTATCAGTTCGTGACTTCAATTTTTAAAAATATTTTAATGGTATACATCTGCTTTAGAACGAATCACTGAACACAAAGCGGCCTACTTTAGAAAGCTATTCCAGATAAAAGGACACGAGTTAAAATTTTGCCGTAATAGAGCTATCGTGTCATAACTATAAAAATGGCTAAGGCCTTTTAACAAACATAACGGCCCGAATTCACAAAGGAGGTTTGTCGACAAACCTTGGTTTTCGTACGTCATATGACGCGTTTTTACGCGTATTTTACAAACCTGGTTTGTAAAGAACAAAATGAGGTTTGGCGAAACAAAAGGAGGTTTGTCGAAAAATCTCCTTTGTGAATTCAGGCCAACGAGTTTTTCGTCACCGCCCGACTCCTTATTGGCCGCCGCCTCCTTTTTTTCTTACACGCGTCGTCTGCTCGGGAATACCACAGGGAATCACCAACAACAACAAAAAGGCTATATGATTTACATTAGATCTAAATAGCTTCTATAGCTAATACAAGCTGAACACATGTACATTTTTTAGTTTCTGACTTTTGAAACTTGCTTAGCAAATTGACTGATATGATACAAATCATTTGTTATGGCGTACAATCAGGCGCGGATCCACGTGGCGATTTTTCCAGCCTGGCCCCCCCCCCCCCCCAGCCCCAAAACTGTTAAAAATATAGAATAATAACGTAAATTTAAGCTTTTTTTTCACCCACACACAAACAAATTAGTGGTTCTCCTTTTTCCATCACCCCCCCCCCCCCCCCCCCACAAACACACAACAACAAAAAATGTGCTCACCTTCAGATTGTTTTAATATTTGTTTTTAGGCCGCCATCCTAGTCAAGCATCGCCTATGATTGCGTTCCTTGCACTTTTTCCACAGATAGTTTGGAAAATAATTTTAATACATAGGCCTAATAATATGTTATAGAAATATTAAGTTTTGTTATAATATGTATATTTGAAAAAAATCTTTTAACAAGATACAAGATATTCTATTTGGTCTTTGCAAACATGAAAGTTACAAAGAAATTTGGTTTCCTTTGTTATTATTACATTATCGTTTGTATATTTTGTATTATACCTTACGTTTTATGTTCTTTGTTATTCAGTTATTATATCTGGAAAATCAGAAATAAAATAAAATCAATTCAAATACAATAAAAATTCTGATACAGGCCTCATCGTTCTATTAGCGCTAGACTGCGGTCTAGAAATAATCGGGGAGGGCACTATTGGTACAAAGGTCGATGAAGTGAATAATTTTATTGTTTGAAATTGATACTGGACAACATTTCCGTGGTTGGTAATACGTAGGGGAAGCAATAGTAGACCTACACAAAAACACTCATTATTCTACGCAGTAGTATACGCACCTTATTGATCTGTATCATTTCACACAACTTCGTAGCATCGATATACTTTTATATTCAAACATACGTTTGTACTCATGGTTAATTCATCATTTGAATATAGGAAGTCCACAACTAGCAACCTTCAATTATGTCCCTTTTTTTAATCAATGAATTTCAGAAAAAAAACTTTTAAATAGAATTAAAACGGATTAACGTAAGGCCTATTCATTATGAGTATGTGGTCGACTCCATAACATTGGCATGTAAGACTGTCAGCTTAGAATTCAAGATTGAAGGACTAAACAATTATATATTGATTCTCCCGCAGGGTCTGATAGATTATAATGGTAATAATAATATGGTAACGACTTTCATTGAAAAACAATTATGATACACCTTATGCTACGGTCACAAAGGTTCTCCCTGTTTTTCCATTGTCTGTAAATCGTTCGTACGGCGTTCGTAGCAGTTCGTAATGGCATTTGTGACCGAGGCTTAAAAAGAAATCATTCCTTTAAATCAATTTGCAAATACACCGGACTTGCCCTTTAAGTAATACATTCTTCACACAAAAGTTGATGAGTCATTGGTTATTTCTTTTCTTTTCTTCTCCAAACTGGATGTGTTGAACATGGACAGTGAGGCTATTCACATACCATACAGCACGTGGTGAATTCGAGTAAGTAAAAATGATACTGATAGTGATTAGAAATCGAGCTATTGGTGAAAAAGTAAAAAAGAGATCACAACGAATTCTATATAACATCAGTTCAGAGTTCAGAGGTCGGAACAAAAAAAATCTATGTGAATATTTTTAATAAAAATATTCTTTATCTTGAATGGATCAAGTTTGAAATTGAAAATGAATAATTGTTGATTATAAGCAAAGGAGGAAATGGCCGAGTCATTTCCCAAATCAGATAATGAAATCTAAACTTACCCTTATTTAAATAAATAATAGTGATGATTCAATCGGGTTAATGGCTGACACTGTCCGCCCACGGGTCAGCTGGACGTAAGGTCAATCGCATTAGCTAAGACGAGTCCGAAGTGGAATGAAACAAAATTATGTTTCACAAACTCACCAATCGCGTCTGAGTCACTACAAGTAATTTCTGCAATATATAGAGAGGAATTTTCTGTCTTGAGTCACTTCGAGCTCTTTCTAACGCGATATCAGCTAAAAATTACACCCTAACTGGTGGGCTGTGTCGTCTGTTTCTGTGGAGAATTCAAGTGCTTCGTCTGGCGTATTTTCTAAATATAAACCTTCTCCGTGAAACAGTTGTGCTATATATTCCGTTTAAATGCACGAATGAGACGACATCGGAGGCTACGTACTTCCTGTTATGTTCTGTTATTGTCAACAGACTTTCTAGTACATCAAACAGTTATTCCTAGGACACGTATTCTAAATCAGCACAATGTAGACATTACGTTAGCTACTGTGCATAACTATGTAGGGGTTTCCCATACCCGGTGAAGATTCCCTTTTCCAGCATTTGTAACGGGGAAGTCCCGAATTTTGCGAACGAATTTATAGAGGGCGCCATTATATCTCCTATCTCTTTGTATATATAAATATCGATATGTGGAAATAATAGGCTGCCCGTCACTTATTATGCCTAGTCAGCCTCTAGAATTGTATTCTTTATGTGATCTCAATGTACAGGGTGATGGATTTTATGATGCCCTCGTATGCCCGGTCTTTGATAACATTCGTAAGCAGTATTTAAAGAAATGTTAATACAATAAATTGACCTAACATTATCAAATTTCATTCACAATTAAAGAACCTTTCTAAATTTGGTAAAATCATTAGGACCAAGTTTTGTTTAATAAACAAAACAAAGCAATAGAGTTAGACCCTTAATATCTACATGTACATGCATATAGATATATACAACACATTTTCCCCCACTTTTTTTTAGTAAACTATACATACCTTTAGCTCTGAAAATATCTTATATAGAGTATATAGTTTTACTTAAGTAGTTTGTTTAATCTTTCCTTTAATTTATTGTGTATTGTTCGCTGCCAAAAAACTTTCTTTCATAAGACTTGCCTTTTTACCGTCTTCGTTGTAAAATATCAATGTTCTATTATTTTTTAAGAATGAGCAATAAATCGGGTAATCCCTAAGCTATGACATAATTTTTCACATTCTACATGTCAAGTTCACTGGCTTATATATTAGGTTAACAGACTATTGATAGACATGGAAACCCCCGAAATGTGATAGTTATATTCAGCAGCAAATGTTCAACATTTAGTAATTTTATGTAATAAAAAAGTGACGTGCCAACTTGTGGTAGGACCCGTTTATTACACATTCATAAAAGCGGTAAAATATTTGGAACGATCAATTTCCGCAGTGCATTCCCCTTATTCGAGAAGCAACTTCTTTAGATTTCTTATCAAAATTTTATCTTTTAAAGTGTAAAGGCTTCCAGCATAAGTTGGAGCATCGCATTTCTTCAAATATTATTCTTAAAAATAATGTTTATGGTTATTTTTCAAAAAAATGACGCCATAAAAACTACGCATATCAAAAGTAAATGCAAAACACAATATCATTGTGAATCACAGCTGAATAGAGGACATCTTAATGACTCTGGTTATTAACCCTTTGCTTACTGGAACCTTGTCGACCCTGTGTTAAGTCTATAGGAATTAGATAATTCAGTAGTCAACGGGTTAAAATATGGTTAGAATGTCGAGTTATATAGCTTGACATCATTTCGATCGAACGCTCGTCGCTTGGAGTTTCATATTATGTCAACTGTCCCTCGACTAGTTTGGCGCTTCTTTATAAGCGAGGTATTTACCTTGCTCGACGCAGATGGCGTGTGGACGGTATTTTTGTTTGACTGACCCAGTAACTGTTCATGAGCAGGCAATCAAGACAATAAAAAGTCCCCTATCCTGGAATCAGGTACAATTCAGACATCTGGAACTTTCTGCCCATTGTAATAAGAAACCTTAGGACATTGTATTCATTTAAAAAGGCAGTTAAAACTGTGTTATTGTCTAAGTATTGATCCTGTCGTGTGCAATTGTAATGTATTCATGTTCCTGTGTACATTAACTGTACATTCAACAATGATGTGTAATCGTCCATGACCTAGCATCGTTTAGCCATTCATGAATGAACCTGCATTCAATCAGCAGATGTACGAGATTTATTGTATTATTACCAACACTCCTTCTCTCCCCTTTCCTTTTCTTCTCTGCAAGTCACTCTTTTCTATTTTTATTTGTTATTGTTGTATTAAAGTTGAGGGCTGCGGGCACGTCAAGCTACTTTGCTTATTTCTCTAGCCCTCCTGCATCTAATGTTTGTTAATTATGCATTCAATATATTTGTTTAAATTCGTTTATTATCTGTATAAAATTATATACACTTAAAATATTGTATCAAACCATATTATGTTCATGAAAATGTATGATGAAAAAAAAGAAAAAAGATGCAGAAACAAATTATTCAAAATCAAATCAAATCAAATCAAATAAATTGTTTCATGATACAATTTTACATATAACGAATACCGCACGCTGGTTTAATCATCCACGGAAAATAAGGACCTCAAACAACGAACCTTGAGAGAAATAATTATGAAATCTTGGTATCTGTCATAAAGAATACGTCTAATGGGCGAATTTAAACGGGAATAATCATCTACATTCTATATCCTGCTGGGGCCGTCCCCCCCCCCCCCCTCTCTCTCTCCTTTATAATGTTTCTCTCTCCTCCTATTTCCCTCTACTCTCTCCGTCTCTTCTTCTTCGTTGTTTTTTTAATTAATTTTTTACTCTCTCCTTTACTGTTCCCCCCTCTATCTATCTCTCTCTCTTTCTCTCTCGCTCTCTCTATCTCTCTCTCTCTCTCTCTCTGTTATAATGTTTCTCTCCCCCCCCCCCCCCCTCTCTCTCTCTCTACCACTTATCCTGTTTATCTCTCTTCCTCCTCATTCTCTCTCACTCTCTCTCGATTGCGACGGATATATATATACCACCATAGTACACGTACACCCATTTCTAGTCTTTCACCCCCCCCCCCTATCGGGAGGTTCGTAAAGAACCTTATTATTTTAGATTTTATTCTGCATGATCATTGAGTTATTCACCTACCAGCATATTCCGGGAAAAACATTTTGATGATTTTTTTTCCCGATCATGATAACCAATATGAGCAACATAAGACGATATTTATTATACCCAGAATATAATTTCCTTCAAAATGTTTGCAACCAAATATCTCCAGGCACATACACAAAAGAAGATATCAAGCGCATAAATTATTCAAAAAGGATAAAACATGTCTGCTTGAATATAATAATTCGATGTGGCTACATAATTCTCATTTTGAGCTCTTTATTCATCCAATTTTACAATAAGACTGTACAGTGAGCAAAAAGGAAAGAACTTATCGGCAAATTTATAAACAAAAAAGGAATAGAATATGTTACACATGATAAACTTGTGAACTCCGCAAATACTGGCAAGGATACATGAAAAGATTATTTATCTTGTACCTTAAAAGTTGTGCATCTTTTAAGAAGCCAATTTTCATTATACATGTATATGTATTATACTTCAACAGTACAACACTATCAGTCTCTTTTGTCACTATAAATTAGAAATAACAATGGTCTCAATATAAGTGATCCGATCTGTATTAAAAAGGTTTAAATTATATATAGTTTCCTCTATATTCAATTCAGCTCGTCTAATCGAGTATATAAAATGATTATAATTACAAATTTAGGATTCTAAATACAAAGGTAGCTCTTTGAAAAGGCAAGGCTTTCCATAAACTATTAAACACGGTCATAGCAGACTATATTATATCATTAACTTCTTCATTTAGCTATGAACAAAACAGAAAAAAATTAACAATAACACAAGACAAAACATTAGTATTACATTGCAAAGCGTAATTTTTGGTATAACAAAGTAATTATTTACATACAACGAGGTATTCATACATAACTGTTTGGGCAATATAATGCAGATGGCGAGTATTTCTCATTTTAATACGGAACTAATACAGTGCATTTGAAATCAATGTAAGAAATAAAATATGAAGTTAATTAAACAACAAGTCCTATTTTATTTATTTATTTCCTCTCATAGGGTGGATGGCCCTTTCAGCACAGCTGATTTTCAAAGGGGTCCACAAACATAAAAATAACAATAACATATACAGTGAATTAGACAATAATATGTAAAAACGTTGCAAATGCAAGATCGACTAAAGAAAATGATAATCCTCCTTTTTTTTTCTTGGTTGTAATAATTGTTTAATAATAATAATTATTATAATTGTGATTTTTTATAGCGCATAAAAATCATCGATGACAATACTATATGCGCTTTACACTATTACATTCACACAACTTACATTATCACATACAAATTACATATTAGGCCTTCATTATGACATAGCAATTATAGAAAATTAGGCTTTTAAGATTAAAATAATGCCTAGTCTATCCAATTTTGCGAATGGCCGTGACAGCTGGCTAATAAGTCTTGGTTATGTGATCTGACATTGATAACACCAATGTTACGGGCTTATTAGACTGCAGGGATATTTACTACTTTAACATTGACAATTAGAGAATTTAGTGTATTAGGAACATATCTAACCGTAAAATGTATCACCTCAGTCTTTAGAACCATTGAAAAGTAACATGTTCTTAATAGTTGACCACAATATTATGTCTTGAATGTAGGTATCGATACGACAAACAGCTAAGTTACTACTACTTGAAGGGAAAGAGAGATGAACCTGAATATTATCTGCATTTATCATGCATTTAAGAAAATGAGCCTTGGCGATGTCATAAATTGGAGCACTATACAAGATGAACAGAATGGGCCCCATAACAGAATCCTGAGGGACGCCTGATCAATCTCTTACGTTATGAGAATAGTCATTTCCAATCTTTACTAAATGCGATCTGTCCAAAAGGTACGAAGACAACAATTTGTAAACAGAACCCTCAAATCATTTAAAGGTTTTAATGTCCTGTTGTAATGACTTCTTTATTCAAAGCAAAGTATTGCAATATATAAATTAGCACATGCACAATAATATACAAATATACACTGTCTTGAGAGGTTCTGGTTAAAACTATGCACAAGAGGGGACGCCAATAGTACTATTTGCCCCGAAGCAAATGGCAATTTTGGAGTCACCGAGGCCAATATAATTTTAACCAGTACCTCGAAAAGAAGGCATGCTATATTTGTTTGATATCCTGGATCAAAATTTAAAGAATTACAATTTTTAATAAAAAGTAATTAAAATTAAAAACAAATTATAAAATTGAGATTTGAAGAAAAAAATTGAATTAAAAAGAATCAAAAACAAAAATTCAACTCCCAAATAGTAATCCCAAATATTACTTCTACTCCCAAATAGTACTTTTTCAGATCAACCTAACAATAGTTGAAATATTTCTGGTCACGTGACGAGCTCTCAGCTAATCAAACACCAATACATTTTTGATGCAGGATATAACAACAATTATATTCATTTCCATTCATTTTAAAGGCAGGTACCTAAATGAATTATACAATACGGAAAGAAAGCGAAACTGTTCACCTAAACAAATTATATAAGGGAAATCGAGAAAAAGCAAGGGCGTGAAGTAAATGGGTATGTTGTGACGTGATGAGAAACTTTTGTAATCCTTGTGTAAATGTTCACCTGAACGTAGTGGCGAAGCGTAGGTCCACCATTGAAAGGCCACTAGTCTCAAGGGGACTGGGTGGGGGGGGGGGGTGGGGTACCGACCTTAATAGATTGATGAAATACGAGAAAGCAGGGCCCTCGTGTATAGGTGTAAGGAAAATAGAAACGTGTCTTCCCCATCTCCCTATCATTCTCTCTCACCCTTCCCCCGCTTTTTAATTCAGCCAACTAAAAGGGAATGGGCCCCGTGCCCCCTTGCAGTTACATTGTATGACACTGTGTAAATTTCAAAGCCTTCATACAAGTCAACTTACAAAATCAAAAAAGAAAAAAATTGGTAACTGAAGACAATAACCAATACTCAAAATGTTTTCATTATGTTTTCTTATTCCCTCGTTGTCATGTAGAAATCGGTGACCAGTTAGCTTCTAAAAAGTATTTAACGACTCTTCAGAGGCAGGTTCTTATAAAGACAACACATCCACATCTAGATACATGATTTTAGCATATCGCAATAACAGCAACCGTTTTTCTCTTAATTGGTCAACGTCCTATGGCAGAAGTAAACGGAAACTTAATTTTTTAAGTTCCAACATCCGTTCTGCATTCTATTACAATGCAACACTTTTGCACTAGAAAATCGTTGAAAATCTTTTATTTTCTGTCCATGCTTTATGCCGACAGCGGCATTAATAGCATCACGTAGCATCAACTGTAACTTTGTCAAAATATATGAAATATATTGTTTCTTTTAGATATCTGTTATCTGCTAGGTCAAAAATTTGCATACTCACAGTCTACTTAAAACATATAAATTTGTGTGCTGTTATGTCATGAATGAACTGTTTGTAGTTACGTCAAATGTATAAATTCGTATGTTTGTCCAACGGAAATAGAGAATTTGAAACGGAATTATCACTGTGGAACACTATGACTGGCTTCATTGGAAAAGAGAAAATGGCTGGTGTGTACCGATTCCAGACTCTGAGTGGACCTGCCATCAGGTGTGACGTTCTCCACCATCTCACAAGCTCGTGTGGGATCAACCCTGGCCCATACTAACTTGGTTGTTATAGGCGAAGACTCCCTGTCCCACTTCTGGGCAAAGCTGAACCAGATTGATGGCAGTCTTAGATTTGTGCGATTCTCCAAGCCCAAGCGAGCCTCAAATGTTTCTCGAAATTTTTCCCAGTTGAAGACCTCAGTCTCCTCGTACCTTTTCAGCTCTTTCGCTAGTCCGGGTTTTTGCTCATTGCTATGCCAAAATAGCTTTGTATCCGATCTTCTTCTCGCGTAGATATTCTTTTCTCGGGAGTAAAACTCAACTCTGTAACAAAAACACCATAAGAAACATAACTGGTGAGATACAAAGGTAAACCACTAAGAATATCAATGGGGGAAGGGGTCTCGGAATGATCTGACATAGCGGTCTTACAATCTTATTAAGGGGTGAACATTTTGCATGACAGAGATATTTTTCTTTTTTCTGTTCATTTGAAATTGCCCATGGTAGGGTAAATTTATAGCATTATGAATAATCCGATGTGACCACTACATAGTGAATCAAAAAAAAGGTTACAACTAGAAAATTGGTAATTATTTTATAAATCATCTATGAACAGTAAATTATTATACATCTTATGAAAGAGTGTTTTATACCGAATCATTCAGTATCATTTTTGTGTGGTATGTGTTCACGCTTGGGTGAATAGGAGGCATCGTTGCGAGTGTGCAAAAATCGACTTGAGCCAAACTTGCCTTTGTGGTGTTTTAATAAAACAATTGGGATTTGGGTATTAATTCGGTCTTTGCAGATCCAAATAACACCCCTAACAAAATTAATTATGCCACACATATCAAATATCGAATATCAAGGAACATTTGAGCGCGTGTGTGTGACTTTGCCCTTTGCAAAAAACATATGCAATGCATTTCATTTGATACATTCAATCCATTCTCTCACTCCACTAATCCCAACATAATACATACTGAAGGCATCACTTTGGCGCAAGTCGATTTTTGCACTCTCGCAAACAATGCCACCTGTTCAACCAAGCGTGAACACATACCACACAAAAATGGTACCAAATAATTTGGGATAAAACATTCTTTCACCAGATGTATAATAATTTACTGTTCATGGATGATTTTAAATTAATTAGCAATTTTCTAGGTGTAAACTTTTTTTGACTCACACGGTATAACCAATGAAATATGGTCAACTGTAGGACAACATGTATAACTATGAAACGATTCTCTTTTCAACACAACATCATTCTCGCGAGCAAAGAATTATGGATTTGAGAGTTATTTATTTCTTACCCTCGATGGAAGCCCTTCATAATCAACTCGGTGAATCGCTTCTGTTTATCTTTTTCCCATTTGAACTCTTCCTTTAGTGGAATCGGTATCCTATCTACCTCAGCTGGTACAGTGACAGGAGATTGGTCTGATGGCTGATGATGAAGTAAGCATCCACCTCTCTCGGTGACGTCTTTCGTTAGCACGGTCTTCGACATGAACTTGACGCTTACCTTGAAATGGTGAACTAAAATAACATGACAAATGGGGACGAAATGTGTTGAAATTTCTCAGATGAATTTGGTTTTTATAAAATAAATTATATCTCATATTTACTGTTCGTCATTTGCGTTCATTGCTATTGGGAAGACATGAGATTTCAGCGACTATGACCGTATTGTTATATTGTTTTAAACTGAGTTTTATACACTTCTGTCTCAGTGGTGTAAGCTACAGAAAAGGTGGGAAAGGACAGAAAGGGAAAAAGAAGAAGGAGCAGGATGCCTGCACCAAGGACAACTCTATTCCCCCTCCTTCTCATCAGTAACCTTGTTAATTCGCATTTCAGTTTCAGAGTAAAAACCAGTGTTCCCTCCCCTTCGGCCTTGAAAGGGAAAGACCATCAGGATTCCCGAAATCATATTCCAGGGGGATTGTGACATCCGAACATTAATTTAGAACTAGAGAAGTGATACAATTCAAAATATTTAAAAAGAAAACTTACATTCCGGCAACTCGTAACCTGAGAAGTACCCTCCAGCTTCTGCAGTTGTGCCGTTTGCTGTTGTACCGGATGTAGATTGGGTTCGACCGCTGTCCGGTAGAGCCTGTCTCTGTGTAGCCGAAGGTCCATGGGAGTGGTCATTCGACTGTACTGCATTCCAAAGACAAATAGCAAGGTCTAACGTTGATCACGATCCACGCTTACATGTTATTGGAATAACATTATGTGAACATGCAGTTATTTACTTCACCATGGCACCTAGCTCACACTGACACACAGCATCATCATCCCGCGATAGCTTCTAGGAGCTACTGTAAGAGATTATGATTTCATAAAATGTCATAATCAAGTGATCTAAATATCTAATATTTCGTAAATAAGTGGAGAATTGCTATTTCTTTTCTACTTCTGCTTGACAGAGACGTACCCTTTTTTCAAGCAAAACTGTCAAGCAAAAACAAAAAATCATATTCTATTACAAGGCCTACTCTAACTCACTTGAGGCAGTTGTGGTTGCGTTCAATTCAACGGATCCAAGGCTCTCTCCAAGGGCATTAGGTTCTGCCATCGGCGTTCCTCTGACATCCTCCGAGTCCACCCGCATTGGTTCATTCTCTGCTAGACTGTAATAAATCCTCTCTGATTGGTGAAAGCCACAATCGGGACTGACGACATGGACAGCGTGGGCCTGTGGGGGCATCGGTGGCACGGCGCTGAACATGGGCTCGCTGGAGGGACTCCAAAGAGCCAAGTTCTGGGAATGTTCTGGATATATCTGGATAGCGGCTACTTCCGTGGATTTTTCCTCCATATCGTTCATTTCTGTGCACGCATAACAATATTTTATTTTTCATAATGTTTTATATACCTTACTTTAAGATTCTTTCCTTCTCTTGTAATATGATAGGTTGAAAGTGAAGTCGTGTTTTTAACTCTGCCCGTAAAAAAGCGGGCATAGTTGAATTTTGCTGCGATCCCCATTGGTTTACGTGTAAATTATAACTCTGTGCAAGCTCGATACTATAATCGCAGTACGATTCGATCGCTAAATTTACCTGTTCCACTGCCTGGAGCACAGTTTTGCTTTCCCTGTTCTACTCACGGACAGTTTGATGATAATTTTTAAATGTGAGGACGATTGGTAAGTTAGTCGCACATGTAAATCTTTGACTCTTCTTATGGTATATAAAATATATATCGACTGCTTTAATATTCGAGGCATAGATTTTTCGACATGCCCTCGGGGACGTTACATCCTGCTATGACCCCTGGGTGCTGCGCGCCTAGGGGTGGTAGCAGAATGTAACGTCCTGGTAACGTCCCTTTGAGCGTATAGAAACAACTATGACTCTCATAGACAGCAGTCAATATATCTATATTATCAATCAACTTAACAAGAATTATTGAGACCTGTATAGATCAAAATAGAGAGACGACACATAATTTAAAATCAAACATGATTATGCCCGTTTTAACCAATTACGTCAAAACACAATTATGTAGGTATACTTTAATTTGTACCTAATTTAAATACGGATGGTAATAATAAGTACATGCAAGTATTCAATTTTATCATCAATAGTGATCTGTCAGTTTATGACAGGTTCATTGACCCTACCAACATTTTATATCAAGTGTCTCTCCATGTTCCTTGGTCTTGAGCCATCCGTTTCAGTGTTTCATACCCTGTTGCTCGACATTTTATATTAATATCAAATTAAAAGTATTATATATTTAATGTGCATGTGTTGTTTCGTGTGTGTGTGTTTTGTTTGTTTAGGGTGTTCATTTCCCATCACTCGAAATAGACATCCTTGGATATGGAGAGGCTCCTTGAATGTATGTTTTCACTTTTTTATATAAATAATAAACAACGGCCCAGACAACATCTCAAGAGCAACTATGTTTGCTGATTACTCAGAAGGGGGACTGAAGTTCCCAAATAATCAATGTATGATATATACTCAGCTGGTAAAATGGGTTCAACGATATTTTTACAAATCAGATCACAGCTGGAGTATTCCCTTTGAGAATTTATTAAGACTATATGGTGGTAAATCTATTTCTGTCGGTTATTATGTCCTTAGGGGTAGTTTTCCGGGGGTGATTGCCAAGGAGGTAATTGTTCTGATACCTCCAATACAATGAGTACGTACCGTCGTAGTTTGTTAATCCGTTGTTTGAACTTGGGCTGGTAAGAATGTCCTGTTGAAAGGAATCCAAGAAAAGGTCGGCATGATTTGATTTCATACGATGTATACATAAATGTGTATATTATGTGGTTGATATACTGCTGTGTAAAAATCACATTTGCATAATTATAATACATGTAAACTGCAATCAAAAATTTTCAATCGCCAGAAAACTAAATTTAAATTTAAACAAATAAAACTAAAGATAGACAAAGTCTTTCTTGAAATGCAACGTACGTGTGTAGAAACTCCCAACAATATATTCAACTGAGAACAGATTGATATGTTTAATTGATGTGGATTAGGTCTATATATATATAAAACTGCTTATCATCATCCACTGTGTTATTTGCTTTGATGGTGGGGAGATGGTGAGTTTTGTATGTCAGGCATACAACTGTCAAATTCGACACTATATAGGGAGAAATATTCCCTCGTAATATTCCTACCCCCGCTCATCTATATCTCAATACGTCCTTAACAAAAATATTAAGGAACTTTGACAAACTGTTACCTTGAATTAGCGAGATTTAATCCTCACCTTTAATAGGAAAATCTGTGGAAAATACCTAGATTTATCAAAATGTCGAACTTTTTAGGAATTTAAATTTCGGGCTTAGAAAATGATATTTCAAACAAATTTTCGTAAAATCTTTCCAAACAATTAATAACTACTTAAATAAAAAATATTACTTACCGAAAGTCCGTCAAGCAGCACATCGTCATCTGTAAGAAGATAATTATAACAAGAGCGCAAAACTCGATGAAATTTATACTGCCAATTTCAACAAAATAAAGATAAATTTATAGACGTCATTAATATCATAACTCTTTTTTTACGATACAGCTATATTTTCCGTTGTACCACTCCGACTTGCAATGGTCTTTTGCATTTAGAACGAGATAAAAATCATTAAGTTTTACTCAATTTTGTGCAATTATTATTATCAGAATGGAAGACAGAGGAGATTTTTTTAATATTTTTAAAGTGGTTTTAAATTTTAAAAAAATCAATAATCTTATATAGCCTATACTTAGGCTTTACATGGCTCCAACAATTAAACAAGAAACCATCTATTTATTACATTGTCATAAATATAGTACAATGTGAATATGACATTAAGCTGTCAATTCTGAATAAGAAAAAAGAATTGAATACAAGCAGGTAGAATAAAGAATAAAAGAAAAAAGGAGATCAAGAAACTGATAAAACATGAGTATGCTATAAATGTTATACCTGGCATAATCATTAAACTTACCAATCAAATATTTATTTTTTCGTTTCCGGTATACTGAAATAGCGGCGAGATAAAAGCAAAATTACAACGAACGAAACAAAAAGTTTTTGAACTGATCTGGTAATAATACTGTCGTCTGGAAGCGCTGGTCTACAAATATTTCCCTTGACAAAGAGTTGAATATACGGCACTTTAATTAATCGCAGAGTAAGAGTGTAGTTTGGTATATTCTTCACAGGTTATATAGGCAAACCTAAATCCATAAAGTGATGAAGGCAATCCCCGATTTCGTTCTTGCCATATTTTACTAAACAGCTAGCTTGAATGGTGGTAGTAAACAAAACGTAATCGCCCCCGCGTTCCTCGATCAGAGACTAATCGCAAACGAAAGAGAATGCGAGATGCGCGCGCATACATTCGGGGATTCCCAGAGTATTGCGATATTTGGATTGAACGGTTCTCTGGTATTGCGCAATGACTGTATGCATGTACAGGTTAAATTGAGGACATTGCGCAACATGAGTGTTTACATTTAATCCAACTTCACGAGCATGTCATTTTGACATGATTCACCAGATCGAGCACAACAAAATCACCATGCTGAATGAAAATAAATATACACTTCGAACTTGGCACGTTTCACAACGGACTTCTATATCAATCGATTTCGTTTTCTTACATTTTAAATTCAATATAATCCCATGGATTATGGGAATACGTTTAGATTATCCAAAAATCAGATCACCACATTGGCTAAGTACAGACTTGCTTTGAGAATAAAGAAAAGTACTTTTCATGATGATAACGTTCACTTTAATCATTATACACGTATTTGATTTTTATCATTATTATTATTATATACATTATATAAAAGACGATGTCCATGCCCCTACCAGGATGTTCTTAGATAATTATAGAAATAACAGTCTTTTCCTTTAAATATGGCAAAAATTCGTGTGATTTTTCAGTTTCATTCTCATTTATTTTTCTCCTCAAGAGAAACAGATAAAAATACATATATAAACTTTAATAAGATGTATTATAAAAAGTGAGGGAGGCAGTAGCCAACTGAAAAAGGAAATAAACCTTGTAAAAGACCAACCCTTTAATTTTTGTTTTAACCTACCAGTATATTGCTGAAACCCATCCGGAAAAAAATGGTCAAAGACATCCATGGAATCTGGGATTGACGACTGATCAGCTCCGTCATTCATGATGGACATTATGTGGCTGGATGAAAACACACAAAAATATGATTGTACATGAAGGCATTTTCTAGAACGAAAAAAGAAAGAAATTGAACTTATAAAATTCTTTTTAAAGATTTATGGTACTACAACATCGCAGTCCATATCTAGATATTGACTTTCGGATTTAATTTTGTTATCGTTAATTTTTATTTTTATTTTTAAATACATTTATATGTATAACCATTACTGTCGGGGGGGTGGGGTTCTTTTACATCGACTTAGTTCAAAGTCATGTAATCTTCCTATTTAATTTACATACTTTTTTTCGCAAATGATACCCTTATACATTCAGTGTTAAATGCTGTGCCATTATTTTCCAATGATTCCAAATAAAGTCAATGATTCTGTCTGTCGGTGTCAAAGGGGGCATGCGCATGAGATAACATCAGACATTTAATTAAAAATCAACCAATCGTTAGGCATGTAAAGATACGTCATTTCGTACTCAAGAGCATTATACCCTAATAGGGCTATGTGGCACGATATTTTGTTTTTTGGGGAAAACCGCTGCTCGGGTTTTACCCAACTCATGTATTGTCATATTACCAAGCAAGACTGTAGAATGGTGAACTGAATGAGGCAGTTTCGCAGTCGACGAGCAATGATTCAATCGACATCAGCGAATGGTAAGAACTTGAATGATATTTCATGTGGCCTGAATTCTGATCATAAATAATCAATGTTGACATCTCTTAAGATATTTTTTCTAAAATCGTTCGCTTTAGCTCTGTAAGCTAAAATTGCTTTGATAATTAATTAAAATTATACCCGCTTCTGCACACATAAATTATGTCATAACAATGTCAATAATAATCTTTCTAATTTGTAATTTACAGAATGTTCAAGAGCTTATAATTTCAGACTAAAAGTCACGTCTAGTAGCTGATGAGATACCAACTTGTTGCAATTTAATGGAAATCAAACTTCTAAATAAAGGTAATTCGAACAGGAAATTTTTTTCAAATGTTAGAAGCAATACAAACAACTATGTATTTATTAAATTGTATATTTATATTTATTTATATTTCGTGTGTTGCAGTTTATTCATTAATATGCAACGAGACAACCAGTAAAAAAATAAACAATAATAACATTAATTTTTGTTGAAGCAAGTTTGCGCTACTAGCCTATAAATCCAGTTTCTAGGTCAATACTTATTTGGAACCTTATATTAAAATATTGTTCATCAATTGCGTCTTTTGTTATGTTTTATCTCTGTTTTTTGTTCTTTTTCTTTTTAGCTGGAGGTGTGATAGATTCTCGGTCCCAGGGTGTGATTATCTGATAAGGTACTTAGTACATGCACGCCTTGTAGACTCATAACTTTTTATATGCTAGAGAGCGAGCAGTCAAACGTACACGAATAAGTCTCTCTCTATCTCTCTCTCTCTTTCTCTCTCTCTCTCTCTTTATATATATATTTATACCCCTCTATCTTTCTCTCTTGTAACACGTATCTTGTTGTCATTTTGCAATTGCAATGACCTTGTACATGTACCATTTGGCTTCAGTATTAACCATTTTTGTATCGCATATCAAGATTTTGATAATAAAAACAAATTGCGTTCAACGGAAAAACCCGAGGGAAATTGCGATTTGAAATTATTATTGACATATATAATGCTTACGAGTTGGTAAAGGTCATGAAAAAGAGTAATCATTAGTTTTTAAAAAATGATCTTAATGCCATTTCTTTGAAATCTGCAATTATCAGTACGTGACTTGAATTTTTTTAAAATATTTTAATGGTATACATCTGCTTTAGAACGAATCACTGAACACAACGCGGCCTACTTTACAAAGCTATTACAGATAAAAGGACACGAGTTAAAAAATTTGCCGTAATAGAGCTATTGTGTCATAACTATAAAAATGGCTAAGGCCTTTCAACAAACATAACGGCCCGAATTCACAAAGGAGGTTTGTCGACAAACCTTGGTTTTCGTACGTCATATGACGCGTTTTTACGCGTATTTTACAAACCTGGTTTGTAAAGAACAAAAGGAGGTTTGGCGAAACAAAAGGAGGTTTGAATACAAACCTCCTTTGTGAATTCAGGCCAACGAGTTTCTCGTCACCGCCCGACTCCTTATTGGCCGCCGCCTCCTTTTTTTTCTTACACGCGTCGTCTGCTCGTATACCACAGGGAATCACCAACAACAACAAAAAGGCTATGATTTACATTAGATCTAAATAGCTTCTATAGCTAATACAAGCTGAACACATGTACATTTTTCAGTTTCTGACTTTTGAAACTTGCTTAGCAAATTGACTGATATGATACAAATCATTTGTTATGGCGTACAATGCATCAGTATGATTCTGTGAAAAGATATACCTTGGCCAGCTATATTTAGCATGGCGGCCATTTTGGGAAAAAAAATGAAGAAAAAAAAGAAAATTAAAAATAGTAATGCCCTGCTTCCTCCTTTTGTGAAAAGTCTGGACGGGAAACTCATTTTTGTTATTTGCCTAATCATTTCTGTATTTTAATGTTATATTCTTTCAAGCCGACTTTAAAATAATATCTTCCACCTCGTATTTGTTTTCTTCTACGATATGTTGATATCTCAAATTTTGGTCACATTGCAACTAATTTTTGCATATTTCGTATTCTGTTTCGTTTTCTTTGTTTCCTTTGTTGTAAAGGCAACATTTGTTTCCACTCCACCATACAGCACATAGCTACCTGCACATCCACTATTCGATACACAAACACACACGCACAATCGCGCGCACACAATCACACGCGCACACGCACACAACACACACATTATACACTCGATATACTCTCACACAACACACTCACAAACTCATTCACAAAGATCGTATTTTCATTTTAAATTTCACCTTCAGATTGTTTTAATATTTGTTTTTAGGCCGCCATCCTAGTCAAGCATCGCCTATGATGGCGTTCCTTGCACTTTTTCCACAGATAGTTTGGAAAATAATTTTAATACATAATAATATGTTATAGAAATATTAAGTTTCGTTATAATATGTATATTTGAAAAAAATCTTTTAACAAGATACAAGATATTCTATTTGGTCTTTGCAAACATGAAAGTTACAAGAAATTTGGTTTCCTTTGTTATTATTACATTATCGTTTGTATATTTTGTATTATACCTTACGTTTATAATTATGTTCTTTGTTATTCAATTATTATATCTGGAAAATCAGAAATAAAATAAAATCAATTCAAATACAATAAAAATTCTGATACAGGTCTCATCGTTCTATTAGCGCTAGACTGCGGTCTAGAAATAATCGGGGAGGGCACTATTGGTACAAAGGTCGATGAAAATGAATAATTTTATTGTTTGAAATTGATACTGGACCACATTTCCGTGGTTGGTTATACGTAGGGGAAACACTCATTATTCTACGCAGTAGTATACGCACCTTATTGATCTGTATCATTTCACACAACTTCGTAGCACCGTTACTCTTATATTCAAACATATATTTGTACTCCTGGTTAATTCATCATTTAATATAGGAAGTCCACAACTAACAATCTTCACTTTATGTCCACAAAAATTTGTCAAAATAAGAACCATTCGACAGTCTGCGTACTACAAAGAATCTCTTACCCCCCCCCCCCCCCAAAAAAAAAAAAAAGTTGCCTGCTTTTAGGAGGAATATTTTTATAAAGTCGGAAATAAATGAAATAATTCTTACTGAGCTTGTTTCCCACCCCATGATATTTACTTCATTAAGTTTTTAATTCCTTTTTTTATCAATGAATTTCAGAAAACCTTTTTAATAGAATTAAAGCGGATTAACGTAAGGCCTGTTAGTTATGAGTATGTGGTCGACTCCATAACATTGGCATTTAAGACTATCAGCTTAGAATTCAAAATTGAAGGACTAAACAAATATATATTGATTCTCCTGTAGGGTCTGATAGATTATAATGGTAACGACTTTCATTGACAATAAAAATATGATACACCTAAAAAAAAATCTTTTATTCAAATCAACTTGCAAAAACGCCGGACTTGCCCTTTAAGTACTCCATCCTTCACACAAAAGTAGATGAGTCATTGATTTTGTATTGTCTTTCCTTCTCCAAACTGGATGTGTTGAACATGGACAGTGAGGCTATTCACATACCATACAGTACGTGGTGAATTCGAGTTAGTAAAAATGATACTGATAGTGATTAGAAATCGAGCTATTGGTGAAAAAGTAAAAAAGAGATCACAACGAATTCTATATAACGCTACGGAATTGGGAGTTCAGAGGTCGGAACAAAAAAAATCTATGTGAATATTTTTAATAAAAATATTCTTTATCTTGAATAGATCAAGTTTGAAATTAAAAATGAATAATTGTTGATTGTAAGCAAAAGAGGAAATTGCCGACTCACTACCAAATCCAGACAATGCAATCTAAACTTACCCTTATTTAAATAAATAATAGTGATGATTCAATCAGGTTAATGGCTGACACTCTCCATCCACGGGTCACCTGGACGTGAGGTCAATCGAATGACATAAGACCAATTCGAGCTGAAAACAAACTTATGTTTCACAAACTCACCAATCGCGTCTGAGTCACTACAAGAAAATTCCTGCAATATTTGCAATACAGAGAGGAATTTTCCGTCTTGAGTCACTTCGAGTTCTTTTCAACACGATATCAGCTGAAAATTACCGGAGAATCACACCCTTAGTGGTGGGATGTGTCGTTTGTTCACGTAGAGAATTCAAGTGCTTCGTCTGGCGTATTTTCTAAATATATAAATTCTCCGTGAAACAGTTGTGCTATATATTCTGTTTGAATGCACGAATGAGGCGACGTCGGAGGCTACGTAGTTCCTTTTATGTTCAGTTATTGTCAACAGACTTTCTAGTACATCAAACAGTTGTTCCTAGGACACGTAGACATTACGTTAGCTATTGTGCATAACTATCTAGGGGCTCTCCAATGCGCGGTAAAAATTCCCTTTTCCAGCATTTGTAACGGGGAAGTCCCGAATTTTGCGGATGAATTTATAGAGGGCGCCATTATATCCCCTTAGTCGATGTGCATGTGCGCATCATTTTATAAAATTAATATCGATGTGGTAATAATAGGCTGCCCCTCACTATAATTATGCCTAGTCAGCCTCTTAGATTTGGTTCTTTATGCGATCTCAAAGTACAGGTTTTTTTTTTTTAATATTTCCTTCAATTTATTGTGTATTGTTTGCTTTCTTTCGTAAGGTATTCTTTTTTATTGTCTTAAGTCTAAATTATCATTGAACCATTTATCTGTATTTCTTTCATGCCCCAGCTGGGGCCGTTAAAGAAATAAAACAAAAATATTTAAAACCTTTCAAGCCTCTTAAGATAGAGCACAGAATTTCCTACAATTACAAAATAATACAAATTCGCTTTAATACAAGATTCAGCAGATGCAATTTTTTTAAGAATGAGAATAAATCGGGGAATCACCTAAGCTATGACATAATTTTTCACACTTATTTCTTTCGAGCCGCTTCTACATGCCAAGTTCATTGGCCTATATATTAGGTTAAGAGACTTTTGATAGACATGGAAACCCCCAAAATGTGATAGTCATATTCAGCAGCAAATGCTCATCATTTGGTAATTTTATGTAATAAAAAATGACGTTCCAACTTGTGGTAGGACACGTGTATTACACATTCATAAGAGTGGTAATATATTGACGTATATGAGCGGAGTAACAGTAACACATGCACCTAGGATGGCTGATTAAAGACACGGTATCTCCAGTCTCGTAAAATATGAAAGTTCCAGGGACCTATCCATTTATCATGACCGTGTTGGATATAAGCTTTTATCTTCCAGAAAGTACTTTTGGTTTGAGAACCTTGCATGATTAATGATAATATGATGTGAAACGGGGCCGTAGATCCAGTGGCGCGGCCCCCCCCCCCCCCTGGCAAAAAAGGAAATAAAAGGGGAAAAATTTTGTGTGTGTGTGTGTGTGTGCTAAAGGAAGCAACAAAAAAGTGATTTCACCTAGGGCCCAAAGTCAGGCACCTGGATGCTCATCTGACGGTAATTTAATGACTAAAACCACTGAACTCCTGGGGGCTCCGCCCCCTGGACCCCACACCAATTAGTGACCTACCAGTGGCAAATAAGGTATCACAATTTGCTCACCTGATCGTTATTAAATACCTAAAACCCCTTTAAAACCGGTGGCTCTGCCCCCTCGACCCCACCTAGGGCCCTAAGGCGGACGGCTGGATGCTAATCTGATAATACTATTTCACGTAATATTGGTATTCTCTGTAAATATTGAAATATTATGTCCCTTCAAATATCTTGTTTATGTTATATAATTCATTAATACTGCCTTATATTTCATATTGTAACATTAAATGGGCAAATTTGAAAAGCAACGTTGACGCCATTTTACTGTTACAAAAGAAAGCCATGCGTATATGTACTGACTCTTCCTATCGCGACCACACCAATCCCTTATTTTCAAAACTAAAAACTCTAAAAGCTGATGATACAAATATTCTACAAATAGCACTTTTCATGTTTCGCTTACAAAATGGTATACTACCTTCATAATTTCCCCCATTGTTTAATTTGAATAAAACCATCCACTCTTACCCTACGAGGCAAACTGAAAAATTCCATTTAAGAAATCCAAAAACCGCATTGGCTCTCAAATCCATTAGACACGCCGGCCCAGACATCTGGAACTCTCTGCCCATTGTAATGAGAAACCTTAGGACATTGTATTCTTTTAAGAAGGCAGTTAAAACTATGTTATTGTCTAAGTATTGATCCTGCCGTGAGTAATTCTACTGTATTCATGTTCTTGTGTACATTGACTGTATATTCAACAATGATGTGTAATCGTCCATGACCTAGCATCGTTTATCCATTCATGAATGAACCTGCATTCAATCAGCAGATGCATGAGATTTATTGTATTATTACCAACGCTTCTTCTCTCCCCTTTCCTTTTCTTCTCTGCAAGTCACTCTTTAAAAAAAAAATTGTTTGTATTGTTGTATCTAAGTTGAGAGCTGCGGACACGTCAAGCTATTTTGCTCATTTCTGTAGCCCTCCTGCATCTAATGTATGTTAACTATGTATTCAATATATTTGTTTAATTTCGTTTATTATCTGTATAAAATTATATACACTTGAAATATTGTATCAAACCATATTATGTTCATGAAAATGTATGATGAAAAAAGAAAAAAAAAAGATGCAGAAACCAATAAATCAAATCAAATCAATTCAAATCAAATCTGTCATAAAGTTAAACGGGAATAATCAGTTTATTTTCCCTGCTTATATCTATATCTATACTCAGCAGGGGCCGTCTTTCTCTTCATTTATTTTTATTTAAACAATTTTCACTATCTCCTTCTCTCTCTTCTCCCCTCTCTGTTTGTCTGTCTCTGTCTGTCTGCCCCCCCCCCCCTCTCTCTCTCTCTCTATCATTTATCATGTTTATATCTCTCCCTCTTCTTTCATTCTCGCTTGTGACGGATATATATATATATATATATATCATCATCGTTATTTGTAATTCATGTTATATTATGTTATATTATATGTTATATTCATAAATATTTATTGTACATAATGGCGTTTTTGTTGTTGTTGCAAATGGAAATAAAACTTGAAGTTGAACATTAACTTCTCGTCCTTCATAATAATAATAATAATAATACATAAGATTTATAAGGCGCCAAATCCACTTGACAGTCAAATGCTCAAGGCGCAGCTTGTGCAATAGATGAAATACATACATACTGTATGTTCGCAAAGAACCTCATTATTTCAAATTTTACATGCTTTTGCATGGTCATCAAGTTTGTCGCCTACCAAGATATTCCCGGAAAAAAAAACGTTTTGATGATTGTTCCGATCACGATCACCATTGTGAGCAACAAAATGAGACATTTAAAATAACCAGAAAATATATTTCCTATGAAATCTTTGCTACCAAGTATCTCCAGGCACGTACAGGGAAAAAAATATCAAACGTAGAATTATTCAATACGGATAAAACATGTCCTCTTAAACATATGAATTCGAAGTGGCTACATATCTCTTTTAATGCATTTTGAGCTCTTTATTCATCCAATTTTACACAAAGTTATCTATAAAGTGGGGCAAAAAGAAGAAAGAAGTAATCGGCAAATTTCTCAATAAAACGGAAATACAATATGTTACACAAGATATACTTGTGAACTCAGCAAATGCTGGCAAGGATACATGAAAAGAATATTTATCTTGTACCTTGAAAGTTGCGCATCTTTTAAGAAACCAATTTTCATTATACATGTATATGTATTATACTTCCACAGTACCTCTTTAACACTATTGATATATTTTGTTTTTATTAATTACAAATAACAATAACACTTAATATAGATAATCACATCTGTATGAAATTGGTTTAAGTTAGAATTTCCTCTATATTCGTTCCTTCACAATAAAGAGAAATAAAATAAATAAAATGGTTTGGGTAATCGAGTAAAAAGATTATTATAAAAAATGTAGGATTCGAAATGTACAGGTAGTGCCTTTAAAAGACAAGGCTATACATTAAACATGGTCATGACAGACTAGATTATATCCCTTATTTCTTTCACAACAAAACAGGAAAGAATTTACTATAATACAGGACAAAACATTATTATAACATTGCAAAGCGTAAGTTTTGGTATAATAAAGTAATTATTTACATACATGTACAACAAGGTATTCATACAGTATTGCTTAGGCTGTATAATGCAAACGGCGAGTATCTCTCAGTTTAATACAGAACCAATAAAGTGGATTCGTAATTAAACAAAAAGTCCTATCAACGACGATAGAAAATGATAATCCTCGTTTTTTTGTGGTAATAATTATTTAAAGGTTTGAACGTCCTGTTGTAATAACTTCTTTAATATTCAAAGAAAAGTATTGCAAAAAAACAAATCAGAACATGCACAATAACAACAATTAAGCCTACATTTATTTCCGTGATATATTCATATTTAAAGCAGGTACCTAAATGAATTATACAATATACTGAAAGAAAGCGAAATTTGTAACAAAAATTATTTAAAAAAGGCAAATCGAGAAATATAGCAAATGCTAGAAGTAAATGGGCATGGTGTGACGTAATGAGAAACGATTGTATTATTTGTGTAAATGTTCACCTGAACGTAGTGTCGAGGGGCAGGTCCCACCATTTATTGAAAGGTCACTAGTCTCATAGGGGACGGGGTACCAACCTTACTAGAGAGATGACATTTGTCATACACCACTACATCTCCAAGCATACAGAGAGGGTGATACACTGCAGTGACAAACTTTGGTGTGTTTGTGTATTAATTCTTAGTTATATTTGGAATATAAAACTGGAATCTAAATCTGAATCTGACTTGTTATACTCTCAACCAGAATTATAACCATTATATAATGCACATTTGCAACTTAGCACCAATTGTTACTTTGTCAAAATATATGATTTTTTTTTTGTTCTTTGTTGATTTCTGGTATCTGCTAGGTCAAAAATCAAAAGCAATCTATAATTACCTCTTTTCCCCTTCTTTAAATTCTCACAGTCTGAATGTGTGTCTTTTATGTATACATGAATGGACCATTTGCTTTTACGTGTATATAAAGGTATAAATTCCTATGTTTTTCCCAACGGAAATAGAGAATTTGAAACGGAATTATCACTGTGGAACACTTTGACTGGCTTCATTGGAAAAGAGAAAAAGGCCGGTGTGTACTGATTCCAGACTCTCAGTGGACCTGACATTAGGTTTGACGACCTCCACCATCTCACAAGCTCGTGTAGGATCAACCCTGGCCCATACTAACTTTGTTGTTATTGGCGACGACTCCCTGTCCCATTTCTGGGCAAAGCTGAACCAGATTGCAGGCAGTCTTAATTTCTCGAAATCCCTCAAGGCCACGCTAGCTGTCAAGGTTTCCCGGAAGTTGTCCATATTGAAGACCTCAGTCTCCTCATTCCTATTCAGCTCTTTGGCTATACCGGGTTCTTGCTGAGTGCTTTGCCAAAATAGCTTGGTATCCGAAAGTCTTTTCACGTAGATGTTCCCTTCTCGCGAGTAAAACTCAAGTCTGTAACAAAATCACCATCAAAAACAAAACTGGTGAGATACAAAGGTAAACCACAAAGAATATCAAGGGGAAGGGGCCTCGGAACGATCCGGCAAAACGGTCTGGAAATCTTGATAAGGGGTGAACATTTTACGTTACAGAGATGTATTTCTTTTTTCCGCCAAATCAAGTTGTAGGGTAAATTTATAGCATTGTGAATAATCCGATGTGACCATTCTAACCAATGACATACGCTCAACTGTAGGACAACAAGTATGATGAATATTAAAAAAAATTCTTTTCAACACAACATCATTCTCAGGGGCAAATAATATGGATTTAAGAGATATTCATTTCTTACCCTCGATGGAAGCTCTTCAAGACCTTCTCGGTCAATAGCTTCTGCTTCTCGTTGACCCAAAGGAACTCTTCCAGGGAGCCGCCCTGTTCCGCAATCTGTATCCTATCTACCTCAGCTGGTACAGGGATAGGAGGTTGGTCTGATGGCTGATAATGGAGAAAGCATCCTCCCTTCTTGGTGACGACTTTCTCTAGGAAAAGTTTGGACATGAACTTGAAGCTTACCTTAAAGTGGTGATCTAAAATAACAAGAAACATGGGGAAATTTCTCAGATGAATAGGTTTTTGTAACATTTTTATATCTCATATGTACTGTTCAGTCGTCTGTTGCGTTCTTTACTATTGGATAGGTATGGGCTTTCATCGACTATGACCGACGCAGACTGTGTAGCATTCCATTTGTAATGACTCTATTGTTTTATATATTATTGTAAACTGAGTCTTATACACTTCTGTCACAGTGGCGTAGCAACAGAAAAGGTGAGAAGAGACCGAAAGGGAAAAGGGGGCAGTACGCCTGGACAACCTCTCTCATCAGTAACCTTGTTAATTCGCATTTCATTGTTAGAGTAAAATAAGTGTTCCCCCTTTTTCGGCCTTAAAAGGGAAAGGGAATCAGGATTCCCGAAATCATATTGCGGGGAGGGGGATTGTGAAATCAGAACATCACTATATAGACCAAGAGATGGGATATTATGAAGAATAATTAAAAGAAGAAAAAAACTTACTTTCCGGTAACTTGTAATCTGGGAAGTACCCTCTAGTTTCTGCAGCTGTGCCGTTTGCTGATGTACCGGATGAGGTTGGGGTTTGACTGCTGTCCGGTAGAGCCTGTCTTTGTGTAGCCATTCTACTAGCCAAAGGTCCGTAGGAGGGGTCATTTGACTGCACTGCATTCAAAACACAAATTCTTAGCAAGGTCTTAAACGTTGATCACGATCGGTTATATAGTGTTAAACTTACTATCAAGCATTAATGCTTTCTTAACAGTCAGGTAAAATGACCACCAATCAATTCAATTCATTTTATTTTCACATTTTGATAAAAATCACAATAACAAACATTTACAATACAAAGTCAATTCCAACAAATAACACAACAGAACAGAAGTATCAAAATATGGGGGGGGGGGCAAACAAAGGCTTGTCCTCAAACTATATGCGATTGGACTGTCTAGTAGAGTATGGAACAAGAGAACACTTTACAGGAAAACAATAATTTATAAACACTACTATCTATCTATCTATCTAAACTGAACCCTATACACTTCTGTCTCAATGGCGTAGCTATAGAAAATGTGACTAGAGACGGAATGGAAATGGAAATGGAAAAGGGGACAGGACGCCTAGACAAGAAAAGAGGACGCCTAGACAATTTCTCTCACCCTCCCTCTCATTATAGTAGCCTTGTTAATTCGCATTTCATTTTCAGAATAAAACCAGAGTCCCCTCCCCTTCGGCCTTGTAGGGGAGGGATTCCCGAAATCATATTCTAGGGGAGGATTGTGACATCAGAACATCACTAAAGAACAAGACTTACAAGAATAAATAAATAACAAATAAAAAAAATGAATATAACCTAAACAAATATGTCTTGATGGCGACTGTGAACGTGTGTAGAGTTGGTGCTGAACGGATGTGTGAAGGGAGGGAAAAACATGGCACACTATGAATACGTACCTTCGTAGTCTGGACTTGGGCTGGTAAGAAGGTCCTGTTGATAGGAATAGAGAATAAATCGTCACGATTGATTTCATACTATGTTTACTTAATATATATACAAAGGCGGCCCTCCCGGGGGAGGGGGGACAGAGGGGCCAGAGTGCCCCCCACACTTTTTCAAGCACCCAAAAAGTGCCCCTTTTTGAAAAGGAAAAGTGCCATTTTAACTTTTTAAGAAGTGCCCCTTTTTACATAATTATGTGCCCTTTTACTTTGACAAGTACCCCTTTTAATTTGCAAAAGTGCCCCTTCCCCTTTTCACCTCTGATAAGTGCCCTTTTATTTTCACGCGTGCCCCTTTTCCTTCGACAAGTTCCCATGTGTCTTTGCAAAAAGTGTCCTTCTAAATCTCTAGATTAAGTGCCCTTTTTCACTTTTGATAAGTGCCCCTTCACCTTTGATAATTGCCCCATTTAAATCTGAGAGGTGCCTCTTATACTGTGACAAGTGCCCCTTTTCCTTTGTAAGAAGTGCCCCTTCCCCTTTTAATGACTACCCCCATTCTAACTCGGATAAGCGCACCTTAATTTTTCAGATGTGTCCCTTTACCTTTCTAATAAGTGCCCCGTTTCCTAATGAAGAGTGCCCCCATTAAAAAAGAGCCCCTTTCTCTTTTCATAAATGCACCTTTTCATCTCTGGTAAATGACCCTTTTCAGGTACGAGAAGTTAATCCTTTTCACTTCAGATAAGTGCACCCTTCACCTCCTATAAATGCTTCTTTAAAATCTGGTCGGTGCCCAACAAATGCACAATTTCCTTTATTATAAGTCTCCCTTTTTCATTCACATAAGTGCCTATTTCCTATTCTCATGACTGACTTTTTTTCATCCCTGGGGAGAGCCTCTTTTTGAAGGTGTAAGGAGTGCCCCATTTTAACCTCTGATAATTACTCTTTGTACTTTGACACATGCTCCATTTCTTTTCTAAGTGTCCCCTTTTCCTCTCATCATTAAACGCGCCCCTAATTTCACGCGACTAAAAGCAATTTCACCCAAAGCTCGCTCGCTACGCTCGCACGCATTTATAGATGTTATACTTATGTTACTTATCGAAGGTCTTTTCAGTCTTCCGTTATGAGAATGTGCTTATAACCCCATAAGGATTGGGTTTTTTCCTTTTTTTTATTTATTTTTTTCATTTCGCACTGCGACCTCAGAAATCTTAAACTTTTTCTACGTTCGCTTCGCTCGCTCGCAAATAAATTTTCAGACTATCACACCCAGCTGTAAAGTATTATGCTTAAGCAATAACTTGTATGGTGTATAAAGTGAAACATATATTAAAATCATTCCTGATAATTTAATCACAATGTAGGATACCAATGTCTAAAAAAATGGTATATTTCGCTTTGAGATTTCCCTTAGTAGGTGCCCTTTTTTTCTCCAGAAAGTGCCCTTTTTTCTTGGTGCCCCCCCCCCACTTTGGAAGTCGCTCTGCGGCCCCTATTTATTTATTAATATATTATTTGATGGATACACTGCTGTGTAAAAATTACATTTGCATATTATATTACACGTACACTGCTATTAGAATTTTTCAATCGCCACAAAAAAAAAAAATAATAATAAAAAAAATATTGATAGGCTTAATAATTCTTGAATTGCAACATTCCTGTGTAAACACTCCCAACAATATATCAACTGAGAACAGATTGATGTGTGCAATTGAAATGGAGTAGGCCTATATCATCATCATCCACTGTGTTATTTGCTTTGATGGTGGGGAGGGGTTGTAAGTAAGGCCAACAACTATCAAACTCGACACTATCAAGGGAGAAGTATTCCCTCGTAGTATTCCTACCCACTCCCTCTCCCCACCCCCCCCCCCCCATCTATATCTTATTACGTCTTTTAAACATATACTAAGGAACTTTGACAAACTGATACCTTGAACTAGCAAGAATTAATCCTCTCCTTTATTAGGAAATTTCGTGGAAAATTACCTTGATTTATCAAAATCCCGAACTTTTTAGGAATTACTATTTCGGGTTTAGAAAATGATATTTCAAACAAATTGTCCTAAAATCTTTGCAAACCATTAATAACTAAGATAAACAATATTACTTACCGACAAGTCAATTTCGTCAAGCAGCGCACTGTCGGCTGTAAAAAGATATAACGAGAACGCAAAACACGATGGAATTTATACTGCCAATTTTAAGGTAAATAAAGTTTGCATGATTTAATCAAACAGATAAAGATTGCAAAGAACATAAACAGTAAAAAAAAAAGAAAAAAAAAAAAGACTGCCCAAATGCTAAAAGTTATTGCCTATTCGTGAATTTGAATACCTTAACGTTCATCAGGGCGGTGCAGGTGCGAATTTGAATGATTTGAATGCATTTACGTGCAATTTTTTTATTTGAACGTGCTTTTTACACGTTTACGTGAGAAAATCATGAAATCGCATGCTAATACAATTAAATTGAAAGAACTAGTTAGCTTGCTTAATGTTGATATTGGTGATCATTCAAATTCGCTCGAAATTGAATGATCGCATCGTTAAATCGGATGCAATTCTGATGAAATTGGTCGGGAAAACCTATACCTTAACTCTTTTTTTTTTTTTACGATTCAGCTATATTTTCCGTTGTACTTGCAATGGTCTTTTGCATTTAGAACAAGATAACTATCATTCAATATTACACTTTTTTTCAATTATCATTATCAGAATAGAAGACAAAGGAGATTTTGTTTGTTTATTTGTTACTTTTTACTTTATTTCAGATGGCTTACCTTATATCCGAACTTAATTTTATATAGCTTATTTAACGCTGAAATCGGTTTCTCTAATCTGTCAATATTTTCTCATTTAGACGAATTCGTTCATTGATTCGTGCAATCTTGCTGGTAACTTACGAGATCAGAGATTTTTATAAAAATCTTTGATTTGAGTTTATTCGTCCACAATGTGGAAATATGCTTTCCACCAGCATTACAATGATACGAGAAACAGAGTACAATAATATGAACATATGGACAATTAAGCAAGCAATTTCAGAACAGAAAAGATCTCGTCATTTCACATAAATAATACAAAATTGTTTAAGCCATCCAAAATTGTTAAACTTGATTAGATGATTAGAAATATCTTTGAAATAGCTTTATGATAACAGTTTATAAATTCAAATAATTATAATCATTATTGCTATTGTTAATATTATTATTATTATTATTATTATTATTATTATTATTATTATTATAATTATTATTATTATTATCTCTTAACGAATTGGTTGAACATGTGGATAGTTTGGTACGAAGGATTGGCGGAAGCGTGCTCGGTTTGTGCGTGGGACGTTTAATCGAATTCCAGAACGGTTGAAAGAATACTGGGTGTTGAGAGGGTGACTTTGATCTTTCATGATTTTGTTTGTTTTGGACATGATCGAGTCTCTGTTCGAACAAACAGTTTATATCAGCCAAATCATGCCCTATCACTCTCTGTGCCGCTCGCCGCACCCGGTCTAAGCGAGTCCGGTTTTTCTGGGTCCCATTTCCGTAAAAGCAAATCACG